AACTAATCGCACCATAAACTTATTTATATGTATGGTAAACTTATTTTCATGGTTGATGGACATCATTTCTAATTTTTTATTAAGTAATTTACTTAAACTTCGTATAACACCTAATAAGTGGAATAACCCCTATAAAATCTACATTTTCTAAAGAAATGGAAACATCTAAGGTCTTAAACCTCTTTAATATTCATACTATATCAGTTCATGATGTAGCTATGCAATAAAACAAAAATTTCATATTTTCTTATTTTTCTTGAAATATGTGGGCTAACCCCTACGAAAATTATGAATTTTCTGTTAAATGCTATTTGTAATATTTAATCTCTTTAGTGTTATTTACATTTAACTAATCGCACCTTAAACTTATTTATATGTATGGTAAATTTTTTTCTATTGTAGATGGACATCATTTCTAATTTATTATTAAGTAATTTATTTAAACTTCATATACCATCTATTAAGTAGACTAGCCTCAATAAAAACTCTATTTTCTAGAGAAATGAAAACATAGGTCTTAAACCTCTTTAATATTCATACTATATCAGTGCATGATGTAGCTATGCAATAAAACAAAATTTTCATTTTTTCTTATTTTTCTTGAAATATGTGGGTTAATCCCTACGAAAATACTGAATTTTCTTATATATGCTATCTATAATATTTAATCTCTTTACTGTTAATTACAAATAACTAATCACACAAAAAACTTTTTTATATGTATGTTAAACTTATTTTCATGGTAGATGGGCATCATTTCTAATTTTTTATTAAGTAATTTACTTAAACTTCATATAACACTTAATAAGTGGAATAACCCCTATAAAGTCTCTATTTTCTAAAGAAATGGAAACATCTAAGGTCTTAAACCTCTTTAATATTCATACTATATCAGTTCATGATATAGCTATGCAGTAAAACAAAATTTCCATATTATCTTAATTTTTTTGAAATATGTGGACTAACCCCTACGAAAATACTAAATTTTCTGATAAATGCTATCTATAATATTTAATCTCTTTAGTGTTATTTACAAATAACTAATCACACTATAAACTTACTTATATTTATGGTAAACGTATTTTCATGGTAGATGGGCATCATTTCTAATTTTTTATTAAGTACTTTATTTAAACTTCATATACCATTTATTAAGTAGACTAACCCCTATAAAAACTCTATTTTCTAGAGAAATGAAAACATTAAGGTCTTAAACCTCTTTAATATTCATAATATGTCAGTGCATGATGTAGCTATGCAATAAAACAAAATTTTCATTTTTTTCTTATTTTTCTTGAAATATGTGGGCTACCCCTACGAAAATACTGAATTTTCTGATATATACTATCTATAATATTTAATCTCTTTAGTTTTATTTACAAATAAGTAATCACACCATAAACTTACTTATATGTATGGTAAACGTATTTTCATGGTAGATGGGCATCCTTTCTAATTTTTTATTAAGTAATTTACTTAAACTTCATATAACACCTAATAAGTGGAATAACCCCTATAAAATCTTTATTTTCTAAAGAAATGGAAACATCTAAGGTCTTAAACTTCTTTAATATTCATACTATATCAGATCATGATGTAGCTATGCAATAAAATAAAATTTTCATATTTTCTTATTTTTCTTGTAATATGTGGGTTAACCCCTACGAAAATACTGAATTTTCTGATAAATACTATCTATAATATTTAATCTCTTTAGTGTTATTTACAAATAAGTAATCACACCATAAACTTACTTATATGTATAGTAAACGTATTTTCATGGTAGATGGGCATCATTTCTAATTTCTTATTAAATAATTTACTTAAACTTCATATAACACCTAATAAGTGGAATAACCCCTATAAAATCTCTATTTTCTAATGAAATGGAAATATCTAAGGTCTTAAACCTCTTTAATACTCATACTATGTTAGTGCATGATGTAGCTATGCAATAAAACAATTTTTTCATATTTTCTTATTTTTTTGAAATATGTGGGCTAACCTCTACGAAAATAATGAATTTTCTGAGAAATGCTATTTGTAATATTTAATCTCTTTAGTGTTATTTACAATTAACTAATCACACCAAAACGTATTTTTATGTATGTTAAACTTATTTTTATTGTACCTCTGCCACTGCATGTACCCAATACTTTGAGGTTATATTGCATTGTCATGCTTCGGTTGAAATTCAGGTTTTCCATTGCCATTAAGAACTTTGCCTGACCCAAAGTCACCTGAAAAACAGAATGCAGAGATTCATCTGGCTGAGAGCTGCATTTCATTTTTGTGTATCCTGACATCCAAGCCGTCCCTTCTATAAAGCCAGTAGAACATTTGCTTTAGACCACAAAATATATTCTTTATATACTAAACTACAACTCATTTGACAAATCAAATTTTGACATATGGAAAATACTATTAAAAACAGTAGTATTTTCCCATGAAAAGCCCAATATCCATATAACTACACTCACACAAATTGATATTCCAGTAGAGTCAAAGGAGACTAAAGGGACAAGCATCAGGTTTTGGCATGTTTTCCACTCTCTACTTTTTTGAGTCAATTATGTTTCAGCATTCAGCCAATTTACTTTGCTTAACTAGAATTTGTGAATCTAAAGGTGAATTTACTTTGCTTAACTATTGCTAGACAATTCATTATAATTTAATTTAAAAACAAACTAAAGTTGTAAAATATATTCTTATGAATTCAAAAAACTATCAAAATAAGTATTGGCAAAAAAGAATTTTGGTTTTAAAAATAAGTTAGGTAAAGTAACATAAAACGTTAATGCAATTGTTATTTTAAACTGTAAAAACAAAGTAAAATAAATAAATGAATTAGACTTTCATATCTAAATTTACATTAAATTAAGTATTTGTTATTAAAAAATTATTGAGTAAATTTAACATATATTATTTTTGCAGATTTTGTATTTTTTTTTGAATAAGACATTTCTTGCCAAAATATATAGCTTATATAAGGTATGGAATAGTTGGATATGTTATGGGCCTTATTGCTTGCATATCCAGGCATGATGCTATTCCCCTGTATTAAACTAAGATAAGTAGGTTCCACAAGAAATTATATCTACTCGTCACTGATGATATTTCATTGTTCAATATTTATCACACACTCTATATAACTAGTTTCTATTATATTTCTAATAGATAAGTAGATTTTGCGATTTGTGTTTGTATTTCTGAATTATTTTTCTAGTGTAGGTATGAGTAAACTATATTACTAATGTGATGTTATTAATCCTCCAAGAAAAAACTAGCTTCAAGCCCACATTGATAAAAGCAATAATACGAAATATTACTAATGATCCATTATGGAAGAACAATCAATTTTAGAACGGAACCACTGTTGGAGGCTTATATAGCTCCGCCGTCGCCGGCTATTGTTCCCGGGAGGTGGAGGCTTATATAGCTCTACTGTCACCGGCTATTGTTCCCAGGGAGTGGTGGCTCTCTTAGCTTTGCGTCGCCGGCATCTGTGGTCTTTGTCTATGAAGGTGTGTGGTGATTTTGGCTCTGCGGAAGTCTAGTTGTAGTCGGCTCGGGGTGTCCCGAGAGATGGAGATGGTGATTCTAGGGTTCTGGGTTTATTTCATATGTCAGTATGTTTGTTGGTTGGATGAGATCTCAACTCGTTTGATGATGCTCTCCGACGGTTTGTAAAATGGATCTGAGTGTGGTAGCTTTGATTGTGTTAAGGATGAGATCTCGATCTAGATCGATTGATGCTCTCCGTTAGAAGAAGTTTTGATGATAAAGTGGTGATTCTGGACGTGGTTTGCGGCGTTGGCGTTGTACGCGGTGGTCAAGCTGTGGTGGTCCGAAGAGACGGTTTCTCCGAGACATGCAGGCAACGGTTCTATGAAAATTAGGATTTTCGTTTCATCGTTATTGGGCCCATATGGATTTGTTTGTATTTTGGGCTTAGACTTGGTATTTTAGATTTGTAATGTGTTTGGGCTTTGAACCTAGCCCATGACCTTTGATTTATAAAAAGAAAAAATGACGGCAAAAAAAAAATCCATTATGGAAGTCACTAGTAGATATACCAAAAAATTATTAGTCACTACTATATATTAAAACATATTTGGAAAGGGAAAAAAATCTATATAATAATAGTACACTTTTGAAACTTCTCAGTGTGTCCACATCAGCAAGTTTGCGGATCCCGCACATGTTATTAGGAAAAACAAAAACGTATAAAATTTTATAAGATTGAATGTTATCAATGAGTGATGAAATGGCCCAGTGGTGTAAGTTGGTCACAAGAAGTTGGTACCGTGAGTGCGCGGATTCGAAATGCAGTGCTTGCATATAATTTTTTTTTTAATTTGGGTTTTTTGGGATACCTAAAAGCTTAGGGAGATTCATAATGATTTTTTATGCTGGTTGTTGGGATACAAAATGACTTAAGGATTTGAAAATTTAGGAGACCATCTTAGAGCAGGATTAATGCAGGCAACCATTAAAGTTGCTTATTTTTTAATTTTTTATTTTTTATTTTAATTTTCGTCTTATTTAAAAAAAAAATTAAAAAGAGGCGAATCGCGGGCCGCCACGTGTCGGCGGGGCCCGCGCACAGTACAAGCAACAAGCAAAGAAAGACGCTTGTTTAAGAGTCAAAAACACCGGTTGTTGGGCATTTGGTAGGCCCCACTGAGCTAAGCAACTCCTTTTTGCTTGCGTTAATCGTGCTCTTAGATACTTTTATAAGAAATGTTATATGTTGTATTAAAAAGAAAAGATTACGATTGAAGAGAAAAAGTAAAATATGAAAAATATAGAAACCCAAAATAAAAAGGAAAAAAATTGTAAAGAAAAAAGGAAACACCTACTAATATATAAATCTATCGAGGGTGGGTGAGAGATACACAAAATAAACTCAGGAATAAAAACATAAAACGCAGCGAATGAGTCAGATAAAAAAAGAAACCAACCCGATGATGAGTCAATGCGACGGGGAGGAAAAACCTATGGATACGAAAGAGATGGTTCGAAGATTCTTTGAACTCTTGTCGACACCGGAACCCCCTTGCTTTTCTCACTTCCCGGAGCCGTACCGTTCTATGCCTGACTTCCACATCTTCCTATCCTTTTTTGGCACAGAAACCCCGATGATGAATCGAGGTCGAGACCAAGGCCAAGGCGAGGAAGAGCCGAAGAAACCGAACCTGCCTTTGTTGCCGGAAGAGATGGTTCTAAGTTGCTTGGCACGCACGTCAAGATCAGAACACGCTTCTTTATCTCTCGTATCCAAGCGACACCGTTCTCTACTGTCAACGCCTGAGTTGTACAACTTCCGAACCCTTTTGGGCTGCACAGAAAGCCTCATCTATATATGCTTACGCATCCCTCCAGACCCAAACCCACGCTGGTTCACCCTCTCTCTAAAACCCCATGATCGTCGGCTAGTTCCAGTGCGGTCTTACTCTTACCAGCCTCCGGAAGCATCTTCCGTGGTGGCTCATGGTTACGGGATCTACATCATGGGTGGTAGGAGTAGGATTAAAGACGGGAGATCCACGTCGAGAGTAATGTTTCTTGATTGTCGATCTCATACTTGGAGCCCTCTCCCCTCCATGGGGGTGGGGAGATATTCTGCTGCTGCTGGTGTGGTGGACGGGAAGATATACATTTTTGGAGGGTGTGATGAACGTAAGTCCAGCAGGTGGGGTGAGGTTTTCGACCCGAAGAAGCAGACTTGGGATGCCCTCCCCATCCCCCCGCATACTCATAGGCTTCCCATAATGTATGAAAGCATAGTGATAAAGGAGGAGAAGGAGGAGAAGGTGGTTGGTATGAATGGCGCATTGACATGTATTTCCTACGTACCAAGTGAAAGAAAATGGAAAATAGGGAATAAGGAAACCTCGGGAGTTAACAAATGTTGGCATTTGATAGATAATGTCGTGTATTGCAGTGAATTAGGTGGGCGGATATTGTGGCGTGAGGGGCATGAATGTGAGTGGAGAGAGGTGATGGGCTTGGAGGCTCTCAGGGAAACTCTCGCTGCCTCCAAGCTCGTCAACTATGGTGGACGGTTGGAAGATGTCTATGAGTCAAACAAACGGGAGGTGCTAGCAGAAGGATTTGAGATAACAGAACTCGATGAACAACTTCCCGGTCACAAACTCAGCAACTCTGGTCCCAACATGTTGATCTTCTGGGACTTGCTTGCTCCTCGTCGTAAGTTAGAGATTTGGTGTGCAGAGGTCTCTTTGGAGAGACGCAAACACAAGGAGACATGTGAGATTAGAGGAAACATTTTGTGGTCCGAACCTATCATGACAATGGATCCTCCTCCTCCACATCAGCTTCACTGTCACATTTTGTATACTTCACCTCTCAACCTCTGAGTACCAAATACTCTTTTCTCTATGTTGGATTTTGTTTTTTTTCTCTCTCTCTCTAATAATCATCAGTTTTTCTCGACATTTTGGGTATTATTTTTCTTTATAATTGTTTGTTTCAGATAATTTTGAGGAAGCTAGCTTCAGCATATGTCGCGTATTGCCTCAATGGCTAACCAGAGTGACAGGTAAAGAAGATATACATTGTGGTTTTTTACATTGTTGAGAGATGTGTTTTGTATATGACTCAGAACCTGAATTGTGATATGGTTTTCAGGAAGGCTTTGACTTCTTTTAAGCTTTAGTGGAAGAACCTCTTCTTCTAAAACTGCATCAACTATGGAAACTGATTCCAAATCAGACTTGCAAGATTATGGTTCTTGCTCTTTTGATTCAACAAGTGGTGGAGAGAAACTGAAAGGGCCAAAGGGGTATTTACACCTTCAAGGTTTTGCGGAATCACTAATGTGAGCTAGATTTGAACTTATAATTTTAAAAGATACATCAAACATAGTTATTAACTTTTAAAATTTCTTCGTTAAACATACCATTTATTTTTTTGAACATAGTCTATAAATAATCGGAGACGTGTTTCGGAATTATAATTGAGTAAAGTATATTACTAATGTGATGTTATTAATCCTCCATGGAAAAACTAGCTTCAAGCCCACATATATAAAAGCAATAACACGAAATATTACTAACATCCATTATGAAAGTCATTACTAGATAGAAGAAAACGCATTAATCACTAGTGTAGCAGTGATAGCCATTGTTCGACGAAAGAGCTTCCATGTATTGTTTCTCCAACACTTCCATAACTCTATCTGCTATGGCACTTGCATAAACACTAGACCCTTCACAAATCTGTTCACATATGTAACACTTAGTTAGCCTTTAGGTCTAATTAACAAAAGAGCCATGCATGAAATTTAATGACAAACCTTGGTGTTGAACAAGAAGCTGTGGTGCTCTCCAATCTGTGCACCAGCTACATGATGAAGATCAAGCTGAAGCTGATCAATCACTTTGGAGACGAACACTAAACAGTTGATTTTCTTCTTTTGCACTATCTTGATAGTAACTTCATCGTCTATGATACGCACATCTACTTCAGTGAATTTTGATTTCCTCTTCAGCCAAGAGCATCTCAAGGCATTGTTCTTCTTATTGACCAAACACTGTTCCACTACTTCGCTTTGAGCGTTGTAGTTCTCATCACCAACGTCCTCTTCCCCTACTTCGATTCTGCCTCTCTTGTTCCTTTGCCTTGTGATTCTTTTCTTCTCCAATAGCATCTTGAACTCCTCAATGGTCCTTAACAACTCTTTGATGTGATCTATGGCTTCTCCAACGATTGATGCTCTATCATTCTACAGATATAAACAAAACAAAACAAGAAAATGTTTAGTTCATAATTTTTGTTACTTGTTGAAGAAGTTAAAATTTTATAACCTTGGTAGGGTTTGGAATTAAGTTCTTCAAGTCACCAAACCGGTCTTTGAAATGAACTCTTCTCTCACGTTCTGTAGGGAAGACTTTGCGCTTTCTTGATCCTCTCCCTTTACGGTTAAGACCATTCTCGGTGTTGTTGTTTTCTTCAGCATATAACAAACTGTTCACTCCATTGAACTCAGTTTGATCGTCAACTCCTAGTAAAGTCCCATTAGGAGGCTGCAAAGGGAAATTCAGATGGTAGAGCGGGTCGAACGCAGCAGAGGCAGAGGAAGATGTCATGATCATGTCATGGAAGTTAGGTGTTGTGAAAGGAGGAAGTGAGGATCTTGGCAGCTGCAAGAGGCTGAGTAGGTCAGGAGTTGTGTGATTAGGACCCAAAGTCACAAATTCTTGGTAACTGTTGTCCCAATTGTTGTTATACTGTTGATGAGCATATGTTGGATCTTGAAAGTTTTGGTGCATTAAACTTTGGAGTTGGTGGTCACAACTAGGAGTAGTAGCATTGATGTGAAGCTGATGAACAGCAGCTGCGGCTAGGGAGCAGTCTTGTGGGCTGAGGTGGAACTCAGAGAGATCTTCTAGACTACAGTTGCTGTTGCTCGTGCTACCGGCAACCAAGACCGGTGGTGGTGGCTCCGCCGGAGAGAAGTTGCTCTCCACCGTCATATCTACCGGAGCATTTGGGTCAAAACACCCTATTTCTTCAAACATGTTTCCTACTCCTTCCATTAAACCGGTTCTAGGGCTAAGATGTTTTCAAAATCTGCAAAAATTAAAATATTCAAATTGTATATTGACAAATGAAACCTAACTTCAAACAAAAGATGCTTTAAGCACCTTTAGTAATCAACTTGTCTTAGCTATAGTTTCATTTTTGTAGTATATTACCATGTGTTATATGAAATGAAAGTGTAAAGAGATGATATATAGTTACCGTCGAGTGAAGAACGTCGGAGGAAATTTTCCGACTAATTAAGCATTGGAAGAGAATAAGTTTTACTTAAACAACTCTTTCTGTTTCTGTCTCTCTTTCTTTTTAGAAAAAGCCAATAGGTTTGCAACTTTAGTGTAACAATAAAAAGAGAGGAAGATGGCAATCTGTTTTTTGAATTAAATTTAAATAAAATTCTTATGTTATGTATTTGTGGTCGATTGGGGGACAAAAATGTTACGTTCAAAACAAACTCTTCTTTGCTTTTTGCTCCAACTTCAAACTAACTTACTAAATTATGTATTTTTCCTAATACTCAGAATCAAATACTTTTATTTAAATATATATATATATATATTTTTTTTTTTTAATAGAAATTTTCTAAATGCGTGTTTCTAGCTGTGAAAATTCAGTTATTCCAGCCATATGATTTGAAAACTATATTAGATTTTTGTTTTGGTTGATTTGATTTATAGATAAAGAATATATATATGTTTTAAGCTAAAAAAATGTAAACATATAAAAAATTCCAATTTCCTATACATTTAAAATTAATTAATTATATATAAATTTGAACTTTGTTTTGGTTCCAGTTTGTTTCTGCTATGACCTAACCTAACCTAAGTGGCACCTGTTGGTTTAATCTTTCTGTTAAGAAATTACATTAGAAAAGTTCATAAACAATTATATGATTACATTACTTATTTGCATAAACATACATATACTATATACATACATAACCTATTACCTATATATAGTTCATAAATACTTGATGCGTACGAGTGATTTGGTTGAGTCATGTAATATCTCTTTGGGGCAAGACAGGCCGGTTAGTTACAGTCTGTAAGTTCCATGACGTGTCTTTCTTCGCGTGGGTCCCATGATGATTCTCTAGGTTCTGCCGCGGACGATCTTCAGGGGTACTTTCGTCTACTAACGATACTTTCTGAGTACTTGTGGGGCATGTTTAGAGTCATGCGATTCTTAGATAAAAGTTTAGTTTTTTTCTTTTATTTTTATTTTTAGGTGTAAATGTTTTTTTTCTTTTTTTTACATGTAAATGATTTGTTTTCTACATATGAAATTGATGATTTTTATGATTTATTTTCTTAAACTTGTTTTTATGATCTATATATACAATAACTGATAGACAAGAAAGACAACCATACTTTCTAAGTGAAATAATAAACTTCAATTTCTTCTTACTGAATTTTAAATCATATAAATCGAATAATTTCCGTTATCTCAATGATACATAAAACTATGTTTTATTCAGTACAGTGAAACTTTTATAAATTAATAATATTGAGATTACATTAAAACATTTGTATTTTTTAAAAATTTAGAGAGAAATTAATTTATCGATATATTAATCGAACAAAAAATTTTAATTTAGGATTACCACATTATATTATTTTATAGATATATTTAGTGTATATTAATTTATCGAGTATTAATTTATAGATATTCTACTATAATTAGCATTGTTTAAACTTTATAGATTAATAAATGGATTTATGATTTAATTTCCTTGTTTGTTGGGTCATGCAATTTCTGCTTCGCATAGGTAGCGGATTGTTTTTAAAGAATATAGCTGGGCCCCACATATTGAGGGAAATAAAAACAAAAACTATGCAGAGAAGGGTGTTTCGTAATACTACTGCTAACCAGATTATCCGGTTTATTAGATGCCTCGGTAAAAATTAATTATGTTTACTTCGGTGGGCCCTTTATGGACCAAACAAAACTTGTGGCCATATCTTTTATTGGGCCTTTTAATCAATGAATCAAATATCCAAATTGATGGCATCTAACAAAACACGTTCCTTCTTCAATGGCCAGAGACAAGACCGAGCCTGAACCCGAGTCCAATAGTTGGGAATCCGACTAAACCAGGTGTGGTTCTCTGGAATACACGTTAAAAAATACTCGAAAAACTCTTGTACAACTTTTCACCACTAGTGCTATGTGATGGTAACGTCAATATATAAATTATCGTTCAATTGCCACTTCCTATAAGATATTATAGCGTTCGGACCACTACAAAATATCAAAAATTCAATTGTATATTTTGGTTTTCCAGATTTTTTAAAAATTCATGAGCATGAAACAAATGCATCAGTGAAGATTGAGTTGTGTCAACAATAATTTTGTTAGTTTACTTTATCACTCGTGATAATTATATCGTGTTTCACATGAATAACTCTTTGATATGATGGTCCCTCCTTTGATATGACTAAACAGTCCCACTAGAGCGATATCTTTATACAGAAAACGTTAAAAGGAAAAACAAAAAGACGAAGATATGAGTATCGTAGTTGGATTCACAATACAATCAGTCATTTAGAGAAACGAGTTTTAAAATACCTTTTTGGTTTGTTTCGGAAACCATAAGAAATAGAGAGATATAAGTCCATACATTTAAATGGATAAGATATAGATAGTGAGAGTCGTTTAGTAGATATAGACTATAGTCAATAACAAGGAATTGTCGCATGTACATTCCCTTTCGGACCTAGACGATCTCCATGCATTGACATCGATCTATATCAAAAATCTCGCATAGAGAAAATATGTGTGAATAGGAAATAATATATATTTCATGTACAATTCATCAATAAAAAAGTCAAATCAGTACTCTACGAACCACTCAACACTTCTTGATAATTTTGTTTTAAAAACTTAATTGTTAAATTTCTTCCATATCTATTTTGATAAAAAAAAACAATCATAACGTTACTAAATTCATACCAACAGTAGTCAAATAATTCCCTAAGAAAATTCAACATCACTGGTAAACAACAGATGGAAAGATTTGACCTGCTTCCCTCGGTGCGTTATCAAATTATCTAGACAAAGAAAAAACATAACTATTCTTTGAAAAGTAAGTAGAAGAAAAGAAGTTGTAAACATTGGACTTTGTGTCCCAACAAAAAAAGAAATATATTTTCCACCTTGTCATTTTCCTAAAGCCTGCATTATATAATATATCAACACACTTAGCCATCGCACACTTGCTTCAACCATCTGGCTTCTCTTGCTTTCATAAACAAAACACCTTTTTTTTCTTTTGGTTACAAATAAACACAAAATCTTCTTTATCCAATTTTTAATCTTTGGTTATTTTGAAGAATTAGATTAAAAAGAAGAAGATGGGGAGAAGACCATGCTGTGAGAAAACGGGATTGAAGAAAGGGCCATGGAGTGCTGAAGAAGATCGAATCTTGATTAGTCATATTGGTCTCCACGGCCATCCTAACTGGAGAGCTCTTCCTCAGCTAGCTGGTAAATATTTTTATATATTTATTTTTTTGCTAACACATCTTCACAATAGGTAAACATATTATTACTTGATTACTTCTGATTTGATGAGTGTTCTTGTTCTGTAGTTATATATCTGCATGTATATATATGTGTGTAAAGTTTTGAAATGGTGTTTGTGAAATGATTAGGGCTACTTCGGTGCGGTAAAAGTTGCAGGCTTCGTTGGATTAATTATTTGAGACCAGACATCAAACGTGGCAACTTCACTCCTCAAGAAGAAGAAACTATCATCAACTTGCATCTAAGCTTAGGCAACAGGTTTTTCTTTATTTTCTTTGGTCTTTTTTTTTTTTTTTTTTTAAGAAATCTTACTATATTACTTCACAAAATTTCTGACTGATTACATTTTGCTCTGTCAATATGCCAAATATTATAACTGTGTGGGGGCTAAGGACTGAGAAGATTCCAACCCGTGATTGCCTTTGTCCACATACCTAAACATTTAAATAATTTAATTTTCACTTTCCTAATTTTCTTTATAAACAACTTTCACTACGAGACGAAATATGCACTGTGATCAGTGTAAGACATGTGCAAAAGATTTTTAAACTACATAGGCAATTTCAATTCGGTTACTTTCATTTTGTTTTTACTAGCTCGCTCTTTCTTCTCATACCATTTAGTTTTCAAACATGTGACACTTATAATTATTACTTTTTGTTTTGGTTATATGTTAGATGGTCTGCTATAGCTGCAAAATTACCAGGAAGAACAGACAACGAAATAAAAAATGTGTGGCACACTCATTTAAAGAAAAGAATCCAGCACAATCAAGATCAAAATATCAGTGAAACGATTTGCGACAATGATGAACAACTCGTCTCGGTTATGGATGCAGCAAAAAGGCCAGGCTCTCCGCAACAACAATCTAGCAGTAGTACCAACATTTCAGCGGTTACAACATCGAGCAACAACAACGACGTGTCCAATAACAACAGCAAAGACTCTGCCACGTCACCAGAAGATGTTCTTCCATTGATAGATGAGAGCTTTTGGTCAGAAGTTGTATCGATGGATTGCAACATTTCAGGAGATGAGAATAAAGAGATAAAGATAGAGGATTGGGAGAGCTCATCATTAGATAGCAGTATTAAGGGTTACAAGTATAACCATGACATGGAGAGTTGGTTTGATAATCTTCTCACTAGTAATCTTACAACTGGAGAAAATTCCGACATTTTCTGAGTTTTGAATTGTTTTATTAAGCTAGTTAAGACTTAAAATCTTCGGTTGTGACCAACATGAATAAAAATCTTTTACGTTTCCTATATCATTTTTCCTCTATTCAGGTACCTTCATCCTCTTTCTTGTGCTATGTTAATGTAAAAAAAGAAAAGAAATCTTATAAGGTACATATTGTTTTGGGGTATATTAAACGGTTATACACTTAAAAAAATCGTCTAAAACGAAGATAATATCTTAGAACATCATTAATGAAGATTGTTTAGAGAGTTGCTTAAGAGGAGAAGATTGACCATTAATGAAGATTGTTTAGAGAGTTGCTTAAGAGCAGAAGATTGTTTATTTTTAAGTTACTCTCTAAGCAACCTCCATTAATGATGCTCTTACTGTAGAATAAACTATAAATGGTTGATGTTTAGCTAAACAAACATATCATTATTTTAATTTGTATTTTTTTTTTGTTTAGCCGTCTTGTGATCATTGCTTCTTTTTCTTTGTTTTTGTCAACATTTATCTTTTTATTTGTTAAAGGGTTGTTTTCTCTCTTAGGTTATAAGTGCCCTATGTATAATATACAATCTTTGGTGATGTTTTGTGGTATACATAATTATAATAAACATGTTATGTGTATCATGTATGACTAGATTAAAGACAGACTATATTGTTGTTCTAATGGTCTGAGATACTTTTGAAAGCATATTCGCTTTTTTCTATGCACTATGAACTATATCATCACATTTTATATTATTGTAGTTTTACTAAAAGTAATGGCTAGCCAACAAAAAAGATAGCTTTATCGAGGAGGTCCACGTATATTTTATCAGCCATTTATAATGATATTGATTTCCTCAATAGATTTGGAGCTATCAAGCTGTGTTATAACAACGTACACCTAGGTAAATGTACAATATGTGATGGTCCCATAATCCCATTATAAATATTTACACAGGAATGAGGAAAACTCTACTCGTTACTATACGGCTAACCAATAGTTCCCGTGCAACTCCCGCCTCTTGGTTTTTTACGAATCCTAGTTCCTATCTCGTCATCATCCTTCAGCTTAGTTAAAGAACACAAAAATGGATATCACTCATGATCAAAGACGATATCATCAAGACGATGGAAATGATGTGTATACTTTACCATGATATTATTAATTGTTTGGAAACTTTCATATGATAATTATATATCATTTTTTTACAAATCGTCAACACACCATAAGACGTTCGATCAAATTTTTTAAGAAGGCATAACACTGAATTCAAACCAATTTCATATCTTGTTTGCGTTTAAACGTAAATACCCAAAGGAAATGATTTTTGCATGAGTTTTAAACGTGCTGATTTAAGAAAAATAATTCACCTAAGAAGCACCCATTATCAATAATCCAGCGAGGACTCCATTATAAGTTTATAACAATTATATATCTCCATCAGCTCAGTTAAGCATGTAATGATTCTTTAGAAAAATCATGGTGTTACTATCTGGATTTGCATAATTATGTATTTCAATGACAAAAAAAATAGTATAACCTCTTTAAATTAATATTCTTAAATTAATATACACTACAAATTTCTATAAAATAATATAATTTCATAGTTTTAAATTGAATTTATGGTTAAATTAATATATCGATAAATTAATAATTTTTATAAGTTAATAAAAAAATTATAGTTTTGATGTATTCAAACATTATTAATTTATAGAGGTTTCATTGTATTGATTAAAATCCCTATGTCATATTATTATTATTTTCTTAAAAAATTCAGTGTCATGATATTAACAAACAGACCAGTGAGAAGCATAGAATGATAAAAACGTGGTTGACAAGTAGGGACAACTAAAGAAGAGGATCAAGCAACCAGAAAATGGTGATCATTTTGATTGATTACACTGGCTGGTACCGGACCCACATTGAATGTACCAGCTGACTCAAATCACATTTTGGTTCCAAGTATTCTGACCCATCCAAGAAAAGGTTTAAAATACAGTGCTTTCATATGACTCATTGGTTTGATGTGAGCGACACTTATTATCGTCCTAACACCATCTCGTAACAAAATTAGTTCAGAGTAACCTTCCAAAAATCTTTAAAGAAAAAAGTTAAACGACAGAGTAAACAAAACAACATCACGACCAAAACACAGAGATAATAACTCATTTTAAGTGTCATTAACAAGAGCAAATGTTCATATTGTTGGTCAGGTCTCCTTCTTTGCCGTCAGTTTAGCTTGTGTCACTACCAAGCAACTCCACGAGTTGGGCTTTCTTCATCTTTGAAAACCCTTTTAGTCCCCTTGATTTTGCTATGGCTCTCAGTTCCATCAGCTTCAATGTACTCAAGTCCTCGTCTTTCACAGCTTCTTCCTCAACCTCTTCATCAGCATCATCCACAGACTCTTCCTCATCATCATCTGATAACACACCTAAAGTAACATTATCATCCTCCTCTTGGAAAAATGATGATGCGTCTAGCTGCAGCTCAGATTCTGGTTCGAGAATAGCTGTCACAGGTTCATGTTCGTCGTACTCAGGCTCAATCTCAGCCTGAGGTTCGCTTTCAGGTTCATCACGAGACTCTGATGTACCCTTCTTATGGGTCCATGTCACGCTGTAACTCGATGTCTGATCATAAGATGCCTCACTAGAATAAGTCGGAGGTGATTGAAATCTAGGTACTGGCGACTTTCTTCTGAAGTTTGATGTTGGCCTGGTAAAGGCTGGTGAACCATTCTGATCTTTGCTCCATGACTTGACAATATTTCCACTATTGCGATCTTGCCTCCTGTCTAAAGGATCTTCCTGTTGAGGAGGGTATGAACTGTCTTCCTGGCTGCTAAGTTTGTTAACTCTTTTGCTCTGCTCTCCCGAGTGCTTCCTCAGTAACTTAAGAAGGGAATCAACAGTTTCACTTTCTTTACCCTCTCCTCTAGAAGCTTCTTCCTCTTCTACCTTTTTATCTTCCCTCTTAGCCGCTGCTCGAGCTCGGAGCTGAGCTTGAACCTTTCTAAAAAGCTCCACTATCTCTTTCTCTCTTGGCCCAGGGGATGAAGTAGCTTGGAACTTTGGGGAGTTAGACAGAGAGAGTAAAGACCCATTTCTTGAAGACAACATATCAGAGTTTTCACCATCAAAACCATCTCTATCTTCGCTTTGCCTGTTTCTTCCATGCTTATTAAGCCTTGAGAAATCAGGGTTTCTCCTGTAGCCACCAGAACTCGCTCGGCAAACAAAAGAACTACCATCAGCAGCACATTTCAGACGCCCGTTTAGCTTGTGATCTAGACAGGAAGAGCAAGGTAATGTTGTAGCAGGTGTTTTTCTAGAAACAGCAGAGTTAGAGAACCACCTACTGTCTACAAGTGTGTAACCTGAAATACAGAATTAATACAGTTAATATTCCTACACAAGCATGTAAACATTCATGACCCTACTTGTCTATTTAAAATTCATACAGAAGCATTTCGTCGAACAACTGGTGGACATAAAAAAAAATTCATTTCTTGTTCGAAACATGCCTTTTTCACATAACGATTATGCGTTACAGTGACAGAGGCCAACAATACATTGAGACCTCGTTACATTACGAATCTAACAAATAGAGACAAAACTTAACAACTATCAATAACATGTAATAGCCACAGAGAGAGGGTAGTAAAGTAGTACCAGAGACGTAATTAGAATTCAAATGGAAAGTTCCCGACATCGCCGCCACGAACAGCTTTGGAGAAAGGAGAGAGAGATTAAGCTTCCTCTTCTTCTACTCTTGTCTTCTCATCTGGCTCCTCGTCTTGGGCTTTAGATGATTTCATGTTCCTAAATGGGCTTTCATGTTCCTAAATGGGCTTTGTATGTTCGATATTGGACATGCGGTTTCACGTCGTTTCATACCTTAACAGAACCGAAATAAGTTAATTAATAAAAATCTCTTGACCAAACCAAACCAAACCAAAAACAGATTCATTCAATAAATGTCTTATTTCGGTTCGGTTTAAAACCATGGTTTTTGGATTCTCTGTTTCATTATAGAGGAAAAGAAGCTAATGAAGCTTTTCTTCAACACTCTCAACAAGGAACTGTATGAAAGCTTGAACCAATGGCCAAAACATTTGCCACAAACATCTCTGACTCCAATGGCATCTCTAGATTGGAGTTTTGAACCAACGGAAACAAAGGGAATACAAATGCAACAAGGAAACCTTCTTGCATTACTAGGCCTTGTGATCTTTAGCCAATTCATCCACGTCAAGTTCTACCGCCAAAACTGGAGAATCCTCTTCCATGGCAAACTCACTGATACAAAGATAACAGTTTCAGAATCTTTTGTGCTTTGTAAGATAAAGAAGTAACAGAAAGAAGCTGATAGGAGAGAGGATGTGTCTCTTCTTCTCTTTTCTTACCTGTTACTTACTGGACCATGATCAACGGCTGTCCTCAAGCAATATATAGCTCTTCCTACTATGTCTGCCATTGAGACCGGACCAAATGTTCGACTATCGTATGCTTCCTATTAAACACATCAATGGGTTGACAAAGTCAACACACCAAATTATATAGAGATTCAGTTTTTTTCTTTCTTTTTTATGAAACAAGGAGGGAAGTCTGTAACAATGAGTACCTTAGATTTGATCTCTTGGTTCTCAGCAACGACCCAGCACTGATCCTTTTCGAGAACAAAAGGCTCCTCCTTGTCATCACTTGATACCATTTCGGATCCTTCTAAAGCTGCTAGTCTTCTCACTAGATACTTATCTGTTTCATTTGGGTCCTTCAACACAACAGCATCTCCAACGAAAACATACCTAGACCAAAAAAAAACCAAGTTATCCAGATGGGTATCACTAGTAATCTACACACTGAAACTAGACAAAGGCTGCAAACTAAACGGGTTCAAATGATGTTTGAGACGTTAAGTATCTGAAACCCAGATATAAGAAGTAACCCTTAAGGCCTTAACTACATGAAACACCAACTGGTAAGTTCAAGGTTCATGTATGTGGAACTAAAAGGAGTAACGCCAAGAAACATACCTTGTATCAACAACAGGTAGCTTACGGACAAGGAGTGTGTTGTCATGTGCTCCCATGGTTGGGGCCATCTCTTGTCCTTTACCAGAGTGTAAGTAGGTTATCCTTCCATAGAGCAGATTCTTCAGGACTACACCAACTAGTTCCCGTTCATTGAGCTTCTCTTTAGTATGATTCTGTGACACTGAGTAACTCAAGGATGGTAGAAAAAACTAAATTCTATACACACAGCTATAAAGAATTGAAAAAAAAATATTACAAAAGTATCTGCAGAAGTAACAAGCAGAAAAACAATCAAGATAGCTTTTTCAGGGTCACTAGATATAATCTGATCATCATTGAACAGAATGATCTGGAAATCATATTCACAGCATACAACAGGATGCATCTAACACCAATTCAATAGTTATGATGTTTGACTTTATAAACTTCTTTTTAAATCATTCAAGAATCACAATCAAAGCTCAACTCAACCAAAAAATTACTTTCCAATTTCTGGTCTTAAACATCCAAAGTGTGTCTTTTATACTACAAAGGGTAGTTACAATCACCAACTTAGAACATAGTCATCTTTGTTTGTCCGAATGTAATGAAAAAAAAAGAAGCAAATCATAACTAGATAGGGGGTTAATAATCAGAAACCTTAGCCAACTGAATCATTCCAAAAACCAATTTTCATAAAGCTAAACACAAAGAGCTTGTGAGAGATAGAGAGAGAGATATACAAACCTTGAGGCTGAGAGTGAGAGAGTACTCCAGCTTGTGAGCCATGTACCGCACCCAATTCGATATGTATGCCATCTAAAACAGAGAGAGAGAGATTTGATCTCGAGAGAATATCTAACTGTTTATCGGAAAGGACCTTTTGCCTGCGTCGGTGTGTTCTCAGCCTCCTCGCCGCCGTTGTCTTTTATGGTTCGTTCATAAAAATCTTGTGAATACAATTTTTTTTTTGTGGGGACAAATTAAAATATTTGGACACATTAGCCCCCAAGAGGAGTTCTGACCAAAAAACAACGTATGTAGTTAAGGCTTTGCTTAGTTCAAAATATTGGACTTTCTCAACACGACACGTGTCATAAATCTTTCAAGGAACAGAACATTTGATAGATCTAAATTTTATTGTGATTAATTTTTTCTTCCACTGAAAGCTTTCAATGAGTTATGTTCGTAAATTTAGATAAAAGTTTTGATTTTTATGTGCAGGTGAATCACAAGAAAGCATGGACAAGCTGAAGATTAGCTGAATGGGGGAGAGAAGCTGAAGACTGGAGATAAAGCTTTGTCCCTGTATTGGATTGTCCGCTTTTGGAAGGAGATATTGGTTCAAAAGCGGACAATTCATTACAGGGACAAAACTCTTTGGAGTCTATTTTGCAAAGGCCTGTTGCTGTTCCTAATCAAGAACTGGCTATTGACTATAACTTTGGAAACTTATCTATCAATTGGATAAGAAAGAACAGATTGAGATTACACGGAACAGCCTCGAGTTGCTTTCTAGCATGTTGAACACTGAAGAGAAGCCAAATCACACAGAGGTAATGTCTGCGTTATTCACTCATGCAACTATATTCTGTGTGTAGTAAAGGGTTTATTGTATATGTGATGATTACAGGACGATCTAGCGGTAAGACTGGTGGAGAAATGCAAGCAACCACAGCCATTAGTTTAAATGATAATAGAGAGTACCACAGACGATGAAGGTGTTCTTTTTGAAGCTCTGCATGTGAACGATGAGCTCTAACTCGTTCTAGTTATTTACCAGAAGGCTGATGAAAGTGAGAAGAAAGCTTGATCGGGAAGCAAAGATGCTGGTCCTCAAACCAACAGAGGAAGAAGAACAGTCTGTGAAACAGAAGGAAGATGACAACGCAAAACATCCAGAATCATCAGTCAAAACAGTCAAAGAAGATAAGCAGGTGAAAATAGAACTCGAGTTATCGAGTGATGATGAGAAATGAGCAAGTCTATTGTTTTGTGTCTTCAGAACGTTTTGGAGATTTGTTATTTTGATGCTTTCTTGTATAATATTGTGGAACCTAGCTCTTTGCGTTTGTGTTTTGACATTATAAAAACCGTAGGTGATAAAATCTTCACTCCACACCGTAGGTATACGAGTTGTTTTGGTTAGCGTTTTGCTTATAAGTGTGTACTGATTGTAATTAGAGGATATGCATTAGAGAAGTAATTATTAAACTGTGCATGGGGTTTGTTTTGTAGGTCTCACAAGTGCATGTGTGGGTTAAACACAATTATTATCTGTAATTGTAAAAAAGGGTCAAGTTAAAAACATTTTAACTGGAAATCTATTATCAAAAATTTTAAAATAATTATTTTGTTATTGTTTTAAATATTTTATCTAAAGGGTAATTCTTTCAAAAAGCTTTTTAAACTTCTTTGTCACAAAAATAACACTCCAAAAATCAGATAAAGAAAGAAAAATAAATACACAATCAGGTCTATCAAAAAATACTAAAATAGATTTTTTTTTGAATTTCTTTTTTTTTTTAATTTGAAATTTTATCTCTAAAATTTACTCCGTAACTCTAAACCCTAAATCTATATTAGTTAACCTTAGAAATATAAGTGCATATTTATTTTTTATTTTTTTAAAATTGATCATTTTTCTTGCTGGAGACTATTTTGTGAAATAAACTAAAGAGAACTATCTTAGATTAAATCTATGTATTTTAAAATATAAATAATGTGTGTTACATTTTAAAACGATAAATTGCATCTAAATAAAAACTAGTTGTTACTATATAAAATTATATATAAATATTAGTAAGAGTATGATTTTAACCGTTTTAATTGTTAACGTAAGAATTCGAGTGCCAAAAAAAGTCATTTAACAAATAATGAAATAGATTATGAGAGCTCACTTTGCAAGATAATTAGCTTTTCCAATTCATGTCAATCTCCTCAATTCAGCAATCAAATTCCCAAATTTCAAACTTCCCTACAAATCCCTCAACAATGTCACTTCGTCCTTAGAACTTAGAAGTATTGAAGTGAAATATTTGTAACTCAAAAATCCATAAAAGTCTTCTTGCCTTTTCATATAAAAAGAAGTTGGGGAGATTTATTTATAACTCAAAAAGGCTAACCATACTATAATTAACTAGATATCCATACTAAACTCCTTAAAAGTTTCTTTGGAGTTTTAGACTAAAGAAACAAATTATAATTTTCTCTAATAAATTTGTAAAGTTGGCTCTTTTTTCCTTTACAAGGTACAATAAAGAAATATAACTTGATCATTTAGTGTCACCTCTCTTTTCCAGCTTCCAATACGGATGTGATTCCATCACTTTTGTATCCGCCACATTCTCAAAACATTAAAGTTCAAGAACCCACACAAATGGAAGGAGCACACGACTGGTTCATTTTCCGGCACCTATTGTGGTTTATTAGGTCAGATATCTTCCTTTACATTATTAAAAAAATTGGAAGTGCCCAAAAGAATTATAACATATAGTAACATTTGTTTTTAACTAATCAAATTTAGCATAATTTATTCATATAAGTATTAATCTTGCAAATGCTAAATTTACAGATAGATCAAAAGATAAAAAAGCAGGTCAATGGTCCCAACCAGCCAAGATTAAAATATTTGTAACTTTTTCCGATTCGTATCTTATAGTCTAGTGCTTATCGACGACTTGTTTTTACTCCAATCAAAATCAGTTTAATTCATGGATCATCACTACTTTTTCCAATGGTTGCATCTGTAATCAGCTGCTTATGTCGTCCTACTCTAGAAATTTGAAGTGGACGTGGCGGCAACCACTTATAACTGTCATATATTCATAAAATATAGTTACATAATACATAGTTGAATCTGTAATCAATGAATAGTTAAGGTGACAGTGGACTTTACATAGTCATCGTTTAAGGTTTTAGATTGGTGCGGACTCTGAAAACGTCATGCGCTCTCTTCATTGGTTACTGATTTGGCTCCGCGACGCCGTCAACTAAAAGCATGAATAAACGGTTAGTAGTTACTGTACATTTAGGTTCTATAGAATTGCTCTTAGCTTTTTCTTCTTTACGTCTAATTGCTTTTATTAAGTTGTTATATATTCTTTTTGATAGAATAAAAGACACAGAGATGTGAAGTGCACCTTTTTAAAAAAATTATCATAACTAAATATTATATATTAGCAACTCGCTATTGTTTTGTCGTTTGTCATTGTTCTTAATCATTCATATATTGCTATACGTTCCGACTTTCTATTTATATCAGTGTCGTCCAATATGAAAATTAGTTAATTAGCTTGGCAACTTGACAATCGACATCCCAAATTTTCCTTAAGAAATCAAGGGTAGGATATTATATCATGTAATTATAGACATAAAACAATAAGATACGTACAAAACATACACTTATCTAGATATAGTCATATATAGAGACATATGTATGACTATTTGGAAAGTTTTACCATTATAAATCGCCAAAACATGAAAAAAAATCATATAATGCAAATGCATGCAAGCCATGCTAATGACCTTTGAAGAGTTTATAAAGAAAAATAATTAGATGAACATTTTGAGGATCAAATCAGTTAAGAGGCTAGACTATATATATCTGACTAGATTCCAACTTAACTACTACAAATATAATTTTCTTCATAAATCTAGGTGAATAAACACTCAGCACCAAAGCTATAGCTCAACAGCCTTAGGTCCTTACCTATATAAACCCATGGATGCTAGTGTCTATTGCAGAGATCAAACAATTGCATTAACACTTCAAAGACTATATATTTACCTTACCTTTATTAAGAGAGAGTCATCATATACTATGGCAAGTGTCAAGATATGTGTTTGTCTCGTTTTGCTTCTACTACTCGAATTGGCGCCAGTGCACCAATGTCGATCTTTGGTCGCAGAAGAGCGACTTTCCGGTTCAAGCCGCGTGATGAAGATTAGAAGAGAGCTTTCTGAGAGACTAAAAGAGCTGAATGCTAGATTAGAAGGTGAAGGGGTGAACCTTGGCAATACTCTTGACTCGAAGCGGCTCAGCCCCGGTGGTCCTGACCCAAGGCATCATTAATGAAGGAGGAGAGACAACATAATTCTGCATGCAGTTGATTTTGTTGGGAGAGTTTTTAGCATTTTATTACAACTTTTCGAACTTAAGTGTAACGGTGTAGTGTTTCACTGACACCGGTTTATAAACAATTAAGCTCTAATCTTCAAATATGAAAGATTTGTAACCTAAAGCAGCAACTTGTTTGATCTATAAACATATGTAATAGTCTTATTTTACAATTTATGCGTATTTCCATTGATGCGTTGATGTTTACATTATCTCATATGCATTGTTATGGCTCTCTGTTAAGATTTAAGCTTCATTTGTCGTCTTGTGATATTTTTCTCCATAATATCTAGGTTTCAGATATAATTTTACATGCATGAGTTTGGATTTTTGACGCACAAATTCATATTGAAGACTCAGAGCAATAATTTCTCAAAAAAAATTATAAAGACGAGATAGTTCACCAACTCTCTTTTTTTTTTTTTTTCAGTTCACCAATCTCATTTTCTTGACAAGTGTAAATTTAAAAAAAAATAGTGTAACAAAGACACTTGAAAGTTGGATAAAAGAGGAGGTAATGCTAAAACTAATGTGGATTGGAAATAGAATATTTAAAATTGACAAACATATTAAAGTCTTCATAATTTAAATCTAAAACAGGAATCATAACACTAGTTGACACTAAATGATTTTTACATATCAAATTATTTTGAAATTACTATTATTTTTGGACAATTCACAGTATTTGAAATTACCAGAAAAAAATATCAAAATTTGAATATAGATTTTAGCCATAAAATAAAATGTTAATTGCAAGATTAAGAACCTAGTTTAATAATTTTAGGAAAAATATATATCAAGAGGGTATAATCGTTTTCCCTCTTTTTTTTTTCTAATAAAGTTTATATTTATATATACTAGGTGATTTTCCCGTGCTCATGCACGGGTATAAATATTTTTAAATTAAATATATAATAATAATTGATTATTATTTACTTTTAATTTTGAATTAATTTATAATTTGTATGCATCATTTATATTAATAGTATTATATTACTTTACTTATACTGTATTTATATATGTTATATCTAGTCAATTTTGTTGTTTTACGGTTGGTTTAGTTATCATTTGGATAAATTGGATTGCATCTCTGAATTCAACTATAATATTTTTAAAATATATTAATTTTTAATTAGTTACTTATTTGCATATGGTGGGTGTTATCTTAGATATGTAAATATATTTTAAGGAAAATTATGTATAACTTAAGATATATTGTGCTTAGAATTAATTAAAAATTAACTAAAGTGTCTGATTCCAAAATACGTAAATTAATATAACGAAAATATTCTTTGGATATATATAAATTTTACAAAAGAATTAAAACTGTAAGAGTTGGTTTGTATTTATTTTTATTTGTTAATATGTTTTGAGTTATCATATGATCAATAAAAGGTTACATGCATTTATAAATTCTAAATAACTTTATGCTTTAGATTTATTGAATGTATTTATTTTAAATAATCTTAAATTGAGAATTCAGATTTGCTTTGATATTTTGATTATGGTTATATTTAGTTTCACAAACATAAAACATAAAATTTAAACCAATTAATATTAATAAAATAAATAATTTTAATAATGATAAAATATCTGATGTCAAAAAAAAAAAAAATAATAATGATAAAATATCATATATCTAGCTCATTAGAACAATTATTTTTACCAAGCGATGTTTATTGTTAATTTTTTTTTTAGTTTTTAATATCTCTTAAAAATAAGCACTACACAAAATTATGATTGTATTTGAAAATAATATTATATAAGTAAAATATAAGTTCTAGATAATTGAAAGATATTATAGTCAACTAAATATATGAAAAATAAATAAAAATTCAATAATACTAATTATAAACTATTTTATTACTCTAAAATTATATTTTATTTTATTTAAAAATATTTTTAAATGTATTATTACTATTTTGTGAACAGTCCTTTTTTATGAAATTATATTATATATACATATTTTTATGTTATTTAAAAATATTTTTAAATGTATTATTATTATTTTGTCAACTTTCCTTTTTTATGAAATCATATTATATATACATATATTTTCGTTTTAAATTTGTTTTTTATGACTTTATAAAAAAATGCCTTTTTATTACATATCTTTTTGGAAATTTTTGAAAAGGAAAAACTAAAAATAAAAGAATTAATAATACTATTTTCAACTATTTCTAATTCATTAAGGGTATCAATGTAATCAACCATCGTGAGAATGAACGTGAGAGCGACACATAGGCATAAATTAATGAATTAAAAATTAACTAAAGTGTCTGATTCCAAAATACGTAAATTAATATAACGAAAATATTCTTTGGATATATATAAATTTTACAAAAGAACTAAAACTGTAAGAGTTGGTTAGTATTTATTTTTATTTGTTAATATGTTTTGAGTTATCATATGATCAATAAAAGGTTACATGCATTTATAAATTCTAAATAACTTTATGCTTTAAATTTATTGAATGTATTTATTTTAAATAATCTTAAATTGAGAATTCAGATTTGATTTGATATTTTGATTATGGTTATATTTAGTTTCACAAACATTAAACATAAAATTTAAAACAATTAATATTAATAAAATAAATAATTTTAATAATGATAAAATATTTGATGTCAAGAAATAATAATAATAATAATGATAAAATATCATATATCTAGCTCATTAGAACAATTATTTTTACCAAACGATGTTTATTGTTAAATTTTTTTTTAGTTTTTAATATCTCTTATAAATAAGCACTAAACAAAATTGTGATTGTATTTGAAAATAATATTATATAAGTAAAATATAAGTTCTAGATAATTGAAAGATATTATAGTCAACTAAATATATGAAAAATAAATAAAAATTCAATAATACTAATTATAAACTATTTTATTACTCTAAAAGTATATTTTATTTTATTTAAAAATATTTTTAAATGTATTATTACTATTTTGTGAACTTTCCTTTTTTATGAAATTATATTATATATACATATTTTTTATGTTATTTAAAAATATTTTTAAATGTATTATTATTATTTTGTCAACTTTCCTTTTTTATGAAATCATATTATATATACATATATTTTCGTTTTAAATTTGTTTTTTATGACTTTATAAAAAATGCATTTTTATTACATATCTTTTTGGAAATTTTTGAAAAGGAAAAACTAAAAATAAAAGAATTAATAATACTATTTTCAACTATTTCTAATTCATTAAGGATATCAATGTAATCAACTATCGTGAGAATGAACGTGAGAGCGACACATAGGAAACTAACTTCTCAAATAATATTATAGAGATTAGAAGAAAAAAAACAATGCTATTTATTAGAGATAATATTATTCAGATGGATGCTGAGCAATGTTGATTGAAAATAGCTAGACGATGTTGAAAGTGACTTCATGGTCTCTCCATTCGCCATTGTCCAAATATCTCTCATAGAACTCTACTTCATAAGTGGGTTTCACGGTCAATGCTGTTGTACTCGTTGTTCTGTAGCGTCCTTCTTGTATCGGAATACAATTATTGTTTAATTCTGTTACGTCAAAGTTTACAAAAAATGCGGTCAGCTTCCTTCCTTCGACAGCTTCGATTGGATCATACATAAACCTCTCAGCAATCTCCTTAAGCGATGGTAATTGTTTGTTTTCATATTCATCAATCATCTCAGTGAAAAAATCTTTCAGGCGTAAATCCTGCACAATATTACCAAAACGTCACTATTAAAAAAAAAAAACTTGCATTTGGAAGAGATCATAAACAACAACATGATCTTGTACTAATTTACGTTGGCAAGGTGGATATCGAGTCCGGAATGAGAAAGGGTATGAACACCAAAAGCAACTTGTTGTGTATGAACATATGGCATAGTTTGAGATACTTTGCTGATATGGTACATAGAGTTTGAAGTTATGTCTGCAACAATTAGGTTAAAGGTTATCCCGGGGTATCTCACAGGGTCTTCAGCTATTTCATTTGCAAACTCCTCTGGACTCATGTGACCCTGTAAAATGTAATAGAATGATTTTTTTTCTTAACATCCATTTTCAATAGATTAAACAAAACAAAAAGAAAAAAAAAACAAGATTTAACAAAACCTGCAAGAACTCAGCAGGAAAAGACACGCAATTGTTTAAACCGTCAAAGATCATTGTGTCCACAAGAAAAGCAACTCGGCCATTTCTAGAGATACCACACCATGTCTCTCCGTTCGGTTGAGCCCTACCACTCAACACCTCGCCGTTCCAAGCCGCCCTGTTTATCATCCTTTTTAACCACACGAATGTAAAATAAACACTCATCATAAAAACAATGTAATAAAGAAATTAAACTCTAAAAACGTCTGAATAAAATTAAACTTGCCAGGTATCAAAGTTGTCTCTGTTATACAGCAGCGTTAGTTGCCCTTCTCCCCATTCGAAGGCGGCTATTCCCATTTTTTTTTTGCTTTTAGAACTATCTTCTGAACTCTGTTGTTTGTAGTATGATTGTGAGTTGCAAGTGTCTCCTTTTATAGTTACTGATATGCTAATAAATGGTTTTCTTGTGGCACACAGGTTTAACAATACCAGAGAATAGTAATCTTTAGAACATCTCCAATGCATGCTTCTATATTTTAGAGAAAATATCAAAGAATGTTACTTTTTACCTCTATATTTAGAAGTGAAAATAACATAGCTCTATATCTTTCACCGTAAATAGAGAAATTTTATTATAGAGACATATATTGGAGTAAATCCACATCTATAATAGAGATTCATTATTTTAATGTAGAGATAAAAATAGAGATGGATTGAAGATAATCTTAACTAAAACGGTTTTAGTGAATAAGTCATGTATACACGTGGAGTGAATTTATAACATAGATTGCATTGAGTTGGAAACAGATATGTAAAATCAAAGCGTTACCTAAGATGAAAACATGATTTTTAATTTTTTTAGAAATGGAAACGTTTTAAAAACTTTTATATATAATATTTATCTATTGTTCAATCCGAGAATTCTATTTATCTATTTAGTTTATATAATAGAGAAAACCAATTTATAGTATATTTGTACAGATTTTATACATATTTTATCAAGGTAAATCTTCTAAGTAACTTTTTTGAAGTTTTTGTTCTCTAAATAACTCATAAAGGTCAAAATAATCAAAATATATTTTCATTTAAAATATACTTATTTATGTAACTAGTAACAACCATGGAAGAGTAGTAATGAGAGTTTTATTCTATTTTTGTATTTAAGGTGAGATTGTTGATGTGTTGGTGATTACTGACAAATCAATCTCACTCCATTTACATTGATCACCTAACTAATGAGTCATTTAGGGCTAAAAGCTACAACAACTAAGTAGCAACAACCATATAAGATTTTTTCTTACTAATGGGATTAAATAAACATAAATGTCATAATTTTAATTTCTTTCCTGTTTACTTTTGATTAATGACTGATTAATATTGAGTCAATGAGCATGAGGAATGACTAAAGTTACAACAACTAACTAGAAACAACTAATGATATTAGAGAAGGACAAATACATATGTGAAACGTGCGGCAAAATAATTAAAAGAGAAGAGAATCTAAATCGTCACCGGAGACGACACACCCTTCCATGAAGACGATTACGAAACTGAGGAGAAGTGGAATTTCGAGTAATGCTATAAACGTTATGATGTTCATTCTGTTCAATTTTTATATAACCTAATGTTACCGTCTTTATTAGTCTCTTTCAATAAAATTTGTTTCCATTTGATAATTTCCGTTTTCAATGATGATGTTGTTCATATTATTGATCATATCAAATGATGAGAATACATATAAAACTATTGTGTGACATATAATTCAAGCTCAGAAACAAATAACTTTGCTAATTGCCATATTACTCATGCTTTGGTAGATAGTACACATTTAGTGATGATGATGTGTTAATCTCAAACTCTTGATGAGGATAATGATGTTTAGTCAAACTAAGTAAACGTGCGGTTATATGATGTGAAACAAAGACCTTATCTCTAAAGACAAATGGCTTGCAGATCAAGAGCCAAAACCCTTAAGATGATATCCATATCAAAGGCCACGATCTGGCGTCATTGTCTGGTTTTAAGTCGCATAGAACAGCTAAATTTGATAAGATCTTGAGACTATCAAGTATTAGTAGCAACCTTCCATAGGTCCTTGGCGTAGATGAACAAGTTTATCCTCTTTTCAATTCTATTTGGGTATTTAATTTTATCTCCGGTTTATTATTTACTGATAGCTGACCATTGAGCTAACTACAATAACTAGCTAGCAACAACCAATGGAAGAAATTCATTTTATTGATGGGATAAAATAAATTTCATAATATTAATTTCTGTCCGGTTTAGTTTCGATTAATAGCTGACTAATGAGTCAATGACCATAAGGGACTAAAAACTACAACAACTAACTAGCAACAGCCATTCAAGAAACGTATAAGAATTATTATTATTTTCTTAAGAAAAAAGAAAATTAGGGAAAGTAAATAAACTGCAGATAATATATATATTGAGAATCTACAAGACTCAGTACTCATTATTAAAAGAGCAAAGCAAACAAAGCAAGAGAAAAAAAAAACAAAGCCATACAATTTTTTTTAGGATATAAATATATATTTAGACATTTTGACAACTTTTAACCTCATTAAATCCTTAAGATGAAATAAAATTGGATTTCATAACAAAAATATGTTAGACTGGATATCATAACAAAAATATGTTAGACTTATATTAATATGACCCTCCTTATTTTTATTATACTACCTTAAATTTACAGGAATTTTTTTATAAAACGCCAACGCTTATTATATTAAACTAATGCAATAAAAATTTACTAAATTGATAAATCAAGGATTTACCTTTTTGAAATCCTTAATGGTTTTTATTTTGTGATTGTTGCGATTTCTGGTTATGATTTATGAATGCTCACAACTTCTTACATAGAGGAAAAAAAAGTTGCAATGATTGGTTAACACCAAAATTTACAACGATTTGTCACCAAATGCTACAATTACCAACAATTGTAATAGTCCATCACCAAAAATTGCAATGGTTCATCACTAAAAGTTATATTCACCAACATTTGCAATGTTTTACATAAGCAGTTGTAACTATTCCACCAAACACCTGTAATGATTCCTTAATCGGCTGCAAAGATTCACTTGAACCGCTAATAATTCTATGTGTAAATATTGATTCAGTAAATAAAGAAAACATATCAAAACTGATACATAAATAGTTTTTTTTAACCAATGAAATAATTAGGATAAAAGATACATATTTATAAATTTTGTCAACTTCTTTTAAACTTATGCAATTTTTAGAATAAAGGAACACATTATTAGTATGCAAAGACACATTTTGGACATTTAAACAAATATAATTATTAAAATAAAAAAAACACAATTAAGATGAAATGACATACTTATATATTTTGATAACTTCTTTTAAACCGGTGCAACTTTTAAAATGAAAATATACATTTTAAAGATGAAGAAACAACATTTAACATTTGTTTAGTTATTATAAGTCGTATTTTTATAATATATTATGAAGACACACATCACTACAAAAGACACTCCACTACATATGAAAGGTATATTTTTAACAACTAATCAATAATTAAATTGTCTTTTATGCCACAGTTCATAAAATTAATAATTCAGAAATACATACTTAAAAAAAAAAATCCCATAGTTTCACGTCGAAAAAAACTAATCTCATTTATATGAAAAATACAACTCTAATAACTTACTAGACGAAGATAATACTATCGTTATGTAATTTAGTCAAACAACATTAACGAACTTTCCTGCTAGTCAGTTCATTCGTACTCTTTTTTTTCTGAAAATATGCTTGCTAGTTCGTTCGTACTTAGAAATATCCACTGATTAGAGAATTCCAAAAATATGGCTATCTTAGATAAATCACCATAATTGTTCCTCGTGAAATCATCTTTCTCTTTTAACAGCAATTAACTCTAAATATTACAAAGATAATTTTAGAGCTTCAAGAAAGTAGTCATCTAAACTTAAGATGTAATAATTTTTTAACAAGTTATACTGGTCGACAAAAAAACTTGAAAGTGAAGCAAGGGACCATACAAGATTATAAATAATGGGTGAGATTCGTGAGAATAATCTCAAAGAAGGCACCAAGTTGTTTTTCTGTGAGTTACAGTGAGAGATTAATCTCGTCTAAATTTTAAAGAAAAGAAATTTCAAATAGAAATTTAAATTCCGACAAACACGTTGATCTTACATGATGAACAGAGAAAAAAACATGTTCTCGAAGACCCTTCTTGTTGACGAACAAAAGCAAAACTAAGAATACGAACACAACCAAAATTCAGGCACCATTGCTCTTGACTAGTCAATTACACAACACATATTCACGTTGTGATGTGATGAATCTGGAAATTTCAAACAAACCCTCCAACACTTGTTCTTCCCATCTACACTTGTGCAGAAGACTCTACAGAATGATCAAGGTAATTTAGGGGAAGAAAGAAACATCTGACCTCAAACGGAAGGTGTGTGTGTGTGTGTGTGTGTGTGTGTTTCGCCCAACACTTTGATCTACTTCATAGAATTGCAACATAGATGACTGGATCTGATACAAAACCCACGATGGATATAAACATTGGTATAAACAAGTTACTCATTTCGTACATGCATATTTAACAATGAACTTGACAATAATTTCCAACGCTATCCAAACCCAAGATTGCAGAAATAAAAGTTCCACGAATGTATACAGAACCTATTACAATGCCGACAAGTTCCACGAATCAACAGTCAAGACAATAGATTCAAATTCTGGAGCTTTATAATACATACCTTGTTGTCCTCACGAAACTCAACCTCGTTCCAACAGCTACACAATTTCTCGGAGTCTCAAACAAAGGCATGGAATATCGCTTGTGAACAACTCTGACATCAAAATATATAACGTCAGAGCAAGGCATGTCCACAGGCTCCATTTAGCCGGTAACCAAGAGATCCTTCGCCGATAAATCACCGATGCTTCCATAACCTATCGTTCCTCGTAATGTTGGCTTCGTAAATATGTAAACTTCTTAAAACCTATACAATCTCTTCAGTATATAAACTTCTGAATAGATACAACTCTTAGACAATAAAGCTGTGTGTGAAAGGATGCAACTCTTCATAGACAAAAAAAAAGAAAGAAAGGATGCAACTCTTAAAGGGAAATAATTCCTGCAATTTATTTTGGAGACACCTTTGTCCTTTGACGAGATGCGTTAAAGACGTCGATTGCTAATGTGAGTTATGGCGTCATACCCTTAATCTAAACAAATTATAGCCGTTGGATTATATTCTCAGAACTATTTTCACCGTTAGATTTTAATTTTTTTTCTTATAATAAAAAATGACATCATCACTTAACATGTGTTTCAAAACATATATTTTAAACAGAATCCTTTTAACTAACTTATGAAAATATGCATTTTTTCAAAACGTTAAAAAAACAAAAAATCATTTTATGGAAATAATACATGTGCTAAATGAAAAAAATAGTTTTATACACTAATACAAAATTACAATTTTTCAAAATATATGTAAAAAAGTTTTTTAGGATATTACAAAATTGCAACCTTTCAACTCAATGATAAAACCAAATGATTATTTAATAGTTTGAAACACGCAAATATATGAGTTGAAGAGACATAAGTAGAAAAAGATGCAACTTTCCAAGTCTTTTTTTTTTCTAACAACGCAACTTTTCAAAGTTTTTTTTTTATGAAACACAAAGAACATAATTTAATAGAATTGAAAAGGCATAAACTAAATAGAAAACAGTTATAAATGAAAAGGTATGATAAGGAACAGTTCTGAACAAAATTATGATGAAAAGACACAATTTTAGGAATTAATTGGATTATTATTATTAAGTGTACAAAGATACACAAAAATTAATTTTTGAATGGACACAGTGTTTCAAAAATTAAAATAAAGATACAACCTTTCAAATTAATGAGGATTCACAACCTTTGGAATTAATGGAAATTTTTTTTTTTTTGAATGGACACATTGTTTCAAAATAAATTTTAAAATTTTAAATAAAGATACAACCTTTCAAATTAATGAGGATTCACAACCTTTTGAATTAATGGAAATTGTTATTAATTTTGCATGGACACATTGTTTCAAATTATTTATTTCTCAATATATATATAAATATTTTAAACACATATTACTTACAACCTTTCAACCTCTTAAAAAAACACATTTACAATATTTTTTAACTAACTTATGAAAATATACATTGTTTCAGTAATACTTTTAACTAATTTTTGAATGGCCACAATGAAAGAGGCATTGTTTCAAAACATATATATATATATATATATTAAACATATATAAGTTACAACCTGTCAACCATATTTAAAAAAACCTCTTTTACAATATTTTATAACTAACTTTTGAAAAAAATACATTGTTCCAATATTACTTTTAACTAATTTTTGAATGGACACATTGTTTAAAAAATTAAAATAAAGATACAACCTTTTAAATTAATGAGGTTCACAACCTTTTGAATTAATGGAAATTGTTATTTATTTTGCATGGACACATTGTTTCAAAATAAATTTTAAAAATTTGAATAAAAATACAACCTTTGGAATTAATGAAGATTCACAACCTTTGGAACTAATGAGGATTGTTGTTATTAGTAGATAGAGAAGGCTTTAAACATGGTTTTGGTCAAATTGATTTGATATCGGCCCAGCCCTAAAAATCTCCGGGTCGGGTACGAAAAATCCAAGTCTCTGCGGCGGCCTTCTCTCTCCCAAAATCGCAGGTAAGCTTTCTCCGATTCACCTCTCCAAAAGTCAAATATTGCTTTCACATACTTTCCTCTTCTTTCGTTTCTTCACTATTAACAAGCTTTCTCCTTTTCCCCAATAGGTTTGTGTTCGATCTCGGAGCTCAGACAACTCGAATGACCTAATTCTCACCGTGGGATTCTTATTCACTCTAAAAATCTACTCTCTTTTCCGGTGAATTCATCTCTGCAACCCTAATTTCGTGGGAATTCTGCAGTCTCAAAGTTTGCACACTCTCTGAATCGATCGAACAAAGGTTCCGTCGTGAAATTAGGGTTTCTCAGGCTTTTATAGGTGGAGGTTATTCTTACAGTGTGATTTGAAGTAGAGAAGTAAAGAAAGGCGTCAAATTTAGGTTTTTTTTTTTAAAAGTACATGTATGGCTTCGGAGCCTGTTAACGGAGAAGGAACAGGTGGAGGAAGAGAGAAGCAGAGCATTAGAGTTTACACTAGGAAGGGAAAAGGTCAGAGGAAACAGTCACCGTTCTTTGCCTTCGCCACCAGTAAAGAGGAAAAACCAGAAGGGATTCTAGAAAATGAGAAAGAAAACAATCATGTGAATCCTCCTGAAGAGGTTGCTCTTGAGACAAAGTCCCAGGAAGACGTTGAGGATAGTGTAGCTAAAGACTCAACTAAAGCACCTTCTGAAGAAGTGATTGATAAGCCTCTCGTGGAAGCGTTTTCTCAAGCTGAACCTCATGATGATGGTGATGTCAGTTTGGCCGCTACTGATAAGAGCGTTATTCAATCTGTACCAGTTCCTTTCGTTCAGGATGATGCGAACACTGTTGTAGGCGAGAATCTTGTGGAAGTACCCTCTCAAAGCTACAAAACTCAAGATGATGTCAATACAGTGGCTGTCGATGAGAACTCTATAAAAGAACCTCTTGAAGGAGATGTTACTACCGTGGTTGTTGACAAGAAGGCTATTGAAGCACCTTCTCAAACTCCATCCGTGGAAGATATCAGTACTGTTGTTGTTGACAAGAATCCTATTGAAGTGTCTTCTGAGGAGCATGTCCACGTGGTAGATGGAGTAAAAGAAGCTCATCCTGAAAACCTTCCGGAAAGAGATGGCCCTGATGCCCAACAGTCAGCAAGGCTTACCTCTGATTCTGCTGGTGAAAGTATGCCAATGGAGGAGGCCGTAGATGGACGGATAAAGATACATGTAGCCTCCAAATCGAAGCAACAGAAAGAGGAGATTAGGAAGAAGCTTGAAGATCAGCTTAACGTGGTCAGAGGTCTGGTAAAAAAGATAGAGGATAAAGAGGGCGAGATTGGTGCATATAACGGCTCTCGTGTTTTGGCTAACACTGGTATTAATAACGGAGGAGGAAGGATTCTCTCAGGTTTTGCTTCAGCTGGACTTCCTCGTGAGGTCATCAGAACACCAAGGCCTTTAAATCAACTAAGTATATCCGTGTTGGAGAATACTCAGGGGTTCAATGAGCATGTGGAGAAAGAGAAACGAACACCTAAGGCAAATCAGTTTTATAGAAATTCGGAGTTTTTACTTGGTGACAAGTTGCCACCCACAGAGAGTTACAAGAAATCAAAATCAAGTGCAAAGAAGCACGGAGGGGAGGTTGGTCATGGTTTTCGTGCAGGCTCTAAAGTCTTCAAGAATTGCAGTGCTCTACTTGAAAGGCTGATGAAGCATAAGCATGGTTGGGTGTTCAATGCTCCTGTAGATGTGAAGGCTCTAGGTTTGCTTGATTACTTTACCATTATCGAGCACCCGATGGATTTGGGAACTGTCAAGTCTGCATTAACAAGAAATGTGTACAAGTCACCAAGAGAATTTGCCGAGGATGTTAGACTTACTTTCCACAATGCCATGACTTACAATCCACCGGGACAGGATGTCCATATCATGGCGCAAGTGCTATTACAGATGTTTGAGGAGAGATGGGCTATCATTGAGGCAGACTATAATCGTCAAATGAGATTTGTCACTGATTATGAGATGAATCTTCCAGCTTCTACAATGAGGTCTAGACTTGGTCCTACGATGCCACCACCACCTATTAATGTGAGGAATACAATTGATAGAGCAGACTGGAGTAGTCATCATCCTGACTTGCAGCATCCAAAACCAACAACAACGCCTGGCAGAACACCGACCAGCACAACACCGTCTGGAAGAACACCTGCTCCGAAGAAGCCAAAGGCAAACGAACCAAATAAAAGAGATATGACGTATGAAGAGAAGCAGAAGCTTAGTGGCCATCTGCAGAATTTGCCTCCAGAAAAACTAGATGCAATTGTACAAATCGTGAACAAGAGGAACACTACTGTGAAGCTACGGGATGAAGAAATTGAAGTCGATATAGATAGTGTTGATCCGGAGACCCTGTGGGAGTTGGACAGATTTGTAATCAACTACAAAAAGGGTTTGAGCAAGAAAAAGAGAAAAGCTGAGCTAGCTAATCAAGCTAGAGCAGAGGCCGAGAGGAATGGCCAACAGCAGATGGTATTTGTAGATCGCCTAAGAATTCCACTCCTTTGTCCTTTTAATGTAATTTGTATGCTCATCTTCAAATATATTTTCTTTTATTTCAGGCTCAAGCACCAGTGGCACATGAGTTTTCTAGGGAGGGTGGCAACACTGGTAATTTTGCTGAGCCAGCCATATTGTGTTACCATTTCCTTTGTTTGTTGTGTGAACTACTTGGGATGATAATTCTTTCTGCTTTGTCTTGTCAGCTAAAAAGACACTTCCTACACCATTACCTTCTCAAGTGGAGAAGCAAAACAATGAGACAAGCAGATCAAGTAGTTCAAGCAGCTCTTCCAGTAGTTCCAGCTCTTCTAGTGGTACATGCTTTTCTTTATGTTACCAAATAATATATTGCCTTGGTGCTGTTGTCTCTTTTGGTGACTAAACCCCCCTCTGTGTTTGGTCTGCAGATTCGGACAGCGATAGCTCTTCGTCATCTGGATCAGATCAGACTTAAAGACTGGACAAGAGATTTGGTGTTGAAAATTATCTAAGGTCATCCAAAAATCCATCTCTATCATCCATCGTTAATAAGAAGTCTTTGTTGACTGTTTCCTGAATAGCACATGTGTTTATTGAATCTTTTCAACGGCATCTTCCTTATTTTGTCATCTTTCTAACATTGTTATATGTGGTTGCTCTTGTTCATATCTGATTCCATATTGGGGGTACTTAGTTGATAATGTTTGATTACTTGTGGATTTATGCCTATAGGTTTCTGATCATATTACCAAATCTGATGGTTTTACTTTGTTAAACAGGGCGTTTAAAAATATGTGGAAGGTAACGTTAGAAGAGCATATGAGAGGCTAAGGATGATGTGACGTACAGGCTTGAGGCGGAATTATAACAGCGTAGTTGGGTTTTCTGGAAGGGAAGATTTGTATTATATCCATAAGACTGTAAGAGTAAAAAAGATAAAAAAATATTCTTGATTTTTGTTTTTAGAATTGGTAGGATGATGTGTCTGTCTCTACTTTTAGATGTAACCGTAGGAAGGGTTGGTCTGGTCTGTTTCGGCACTTTTGTATATCTTTGCTCGTCTCTCTGGTCTTGGGTAGTTTAGTTTGGTTGACTAGGTTCATGTTTGTTTTAGTTAAGGCTTTTGAATCAGCAAATATCACAACAGATTCTTGATGACTCGTGTATTTGTAAGCTTCTGACATTTGTTTTCTTGTTGCTTCCAAAGTATCATTCTGTTTGGATCTAACGTAGATTTACAGAGTGCACAAGTAACATTTATAACGATGTAACGATAATTTCAATTTGTGATTTGAAGTCGTTAGCTTTTACAAGATTTATCTAAAAGATGGACACACTAAACTACAAGAGTTGGGTTCAAGAAACATATTGTGTGGAACATTTTATAAGTTTTTGCAACTAAACTCGTATAGGTAAAGCTCTTCTAACCGGTTACTAGTTTGAAGGTTCATCATCATCATGATCTTTCCTGTGGAGATCCAGCTGCCATGTGCCATCATCCTTTTGAACCATCCCTTTATTTGGAAGACATCTCCAGGTACTAGGCACTAAGTACTCGTCTTTCAAAGCATCTAAACCTTTATTGACCAATGCAATATCTCGACCAATCACCATCTTAAACAGCCCAGCTTTGTCTTGCATCCCCGCCAAGCCGTGCAGGTATATCTCCAGGTTATGGTAGTTCCTAAAGTTTAGAGAACGTTTGAGGTAAGTCGAGTTCAATGTATTGATCTCGAGCATCTGGCCTACTTCTGCATACATTACGAGTGGATAATGTGGTGCCACGTCCGGAACATTGACTACTCTCAGGATGTTGAGTTGTTTGTGTGAGTCCACAACTTTTACGAAGTCTTGGTCCCCAATTCGAGGACACCCGAAAGCAAAAACTGTGATGGGAACTTGTTTTTTTTCAAGACTTGTATCCACCGAGTGTTTCCTTCCATGGACAAGATCAGTAGCTGCTAGAGTTGACATTACTCCTCCCAAGCTATGCCCTGTGAAAGTTATACTCACTTCTTCGTTCTTGTAAACTTCTAGCAATCTCTTGAGCTCTCCTTGTACCTTAAACCAAAAAAACATGACACAACCCCATTACGAGAAAAGAACAAGATCTTGTAAAACAGGAAAGGTGAAAAAGACCTGTTCACGTGCGCTAGTCTTGTCATAAGGCGACTTAGCATCAGAAGCAGTGTAGACATCAAGCCAGCCACTTCCAATACGAGGCAGGAGCTTAGGGTCGGTTACAGGGAAAACAGAGACACCTGACTCAAGTGGAAAATCGAAATCATTAGCCCATTCATATGGCTGAAGAGTTCCTCTCCAAGCAACAACAATGTCTCTCCTCCCTAACAACGCCTTGCCTTCGTCTGTAGCGACGGCTACGTAACCAATCCAGTTAGTCTGCACGGGAGATGCTTCTTTTGACAAAGACTTGACGATGAAACAGATTGGTAGCTTAAAAGCAGCTGTTGCGTAGATGTATTTGGTCACATTGTACCTGAGAAATAGTCAATTATATCCCCACATCGGGAATTCAATAGGATCTTTAAGTAATATATAAAAGGTTAGGCTAATCCACTAATCACTAATGTTGGAAGTCCATAATAAACCAGAATCTAATACACATAGTCGATTACAAAGATGAAAACATTCAAGATTTGAGGGAAGTACCTGAAAGGATTGGCTTTAAGGTAGCCAGTTCGAGCAAAGATTTGTCTCTTAGAGTAATAACAATCACCGGCGTATAGGGACTTCTGGTCCCAGTTAAAGGCGTCGTAAGCAACCTGAGCCATCTCACCGTAGTGAATGAGGTAGCGACGAAGATCTGAGTCAAGTGGATCAAGAAGGCCTTTCCATTTGTTTTGGCCACTTAGTACCTTCCACCTCCTGGCTATGCTCCCCAACATGATGCTTGCTCTTTAGTTTTTTTTTTCACCTGCTTTTTTTGGATGGTAACATTTCTCCTTGTGTGAAGGACTTGGTCCTTAATGCATGGCCTCTTCACATATATAGTGCCGATTAAAGTCTTTGTTAAGTATACGCAAGTTGCAGTTAAAAGGATCAAACCAAAAGACTTGGGAAACTTTCAAGGTATAAAATTGATGATGACGGTTAATCAACGTTTATATCATGTACTGTTAGTTACACAGAAATTAAATTAATTTAAGGAAATCCTATCATGTCTGTCTAACCTGATTTTTGGTTTAACCGAGCCGGAAAATCTGTCTAGAAGAAACCAAAAGCAAGGTCTCGTCTGAAAAAAAAAACAGAATACACCATCAAATCCTAGTGGTACACTATGCAGAACAATTAGTTCAACATTTGAATCCTGCCTCATGACCATCATAATTCATTTTCTGACGTTCTTCACTGTAGATGAGCCTTTCTGATACTATAGGAGAATCATTCACAATTCAGCTAATCATCAACAGTATTCATACTGAACAGTATCGCTCTATTCTATTTTTGAAGTAACGAGTATGGTCACGTCATATCTGAAGGGACCCTACAGTTTTCCGGAACCTAAGGAGGCTTCACGAGGCAATGTCATGAACTTGATTCTAGCTAACCACATAGTCGTAGTATCTTTAACCATATGTAATAAAAAAAAAACTAACTAGGAATATAGTGGTAAGATTTACAAGTGCTACAACAAGTATTAAGTACCTTGACGATAGCTTCTTCAACGTTAAAAGACATGGCAGCCTCAAACTTCCGACTTGTGTCGAAATTTTTTCCATAGCATGTTTTCCCAAAGCTCAAAAAATTATAAGTTGTATCCAAAAAAGACAATGCAACTTTGTACCGTAACTATAGACTAAAAGAAACCAAATTCTATGACAAACCCTTAAACCTACGTATCTCCACATATTATCAGGGGTAAGACAGAAAGAGACTTGTTTCATTGGAACTGCAACAAAACGCTAAACCTGTGACAAAGAGAGCAGCCACGGGACTGAGGCTTATATACCAGAAACCAAACTCATTTTCCAAACTCCAACTTACAACAAACAAAGATGCTGAATGCACTTAGAAACTCTAACCTGACCCTTGTTGTTTTGATTTGCTTTGTGCTGATAGCTTCAAAGCTGTGTTCCGTCAATTCATCAGTGTACAACCCACACAACATTCTGAAGAAGCAGTTCGGGAAGTGGCTTCAGCACCACGGAAAATCATATAGAGGAAAGGATGAGTGGATGTTCAGGTTTGGGATATACCAGTCTAATATCCAGTGGATTGACTACATCAACTCCCTCCACATGCCCTTTAAGTTAGCGGAGAACAGATTTGCGGACATGACCAACTCTGAGTTTAAGGCACATTTCCTCGGGTTGAACACGTCTTCCTTGAAGTTAGACAGCAACCCTATGCCGGCGAATTGTGACCCATCAGGTAATGTACCAGCAGCTGTGGACTGGAGGAAAGAAGGCGCTGTTACTCCTATTAGAAATCAAGGAAGATGCGGTATGAACTTACGCTCTTACACAAATTCCATTTTAAAGATAATACTTTGCAAAATATTCATAACATCAACTATTGATAATCTGATTTGCATTTTGTACAGGAGGTTGTTGGGCTTTCGCTACAGTTTCAGCTATTGAAGGCATCAACAAGATTAAAACAGGGAATTTAATTTCTCTTTCAGAACAACAACTCATAGATTGTGACACCGGAAGTTACAACAAAGGTTGTAGCGGTGGATTAATGGAAACAGCCTATGAATACCTCGTAGCCAATGGTGGACTGGTCGCCCTGGAGGACTACCCATACACAGCCACAGATGGTACCGGCTGCGACCAAGAAAAATCTCAAAATAAGATAGTTACGATTAAAGGATACCAAAAGGTAGCACAAAACGAGGCGAGTCTAGAAGTCGCTACTGCTCAACAACCAGTATCAGTTGGAATCGACGCTGATGGATTTATCTTTCAGTTCTACTCTTCTGGTGTTTTCACAGGTTACTGTGGATCAAGTCTTAACCATGCAGTGACTGTTGTTGGATATGGAGAAGAAGACGGTGAAAAGTATTGGATCGTAAAGAATACATGGGGAACTGGTTGGGGTGAAGAAGGCTACATACGGATGGAACGTGGTTATCGTAAAGAAACGGGTAAATGTGGTATTGCTATGCTTGCAAGCTATCCTCTGCAGTGAGAGTCTAGAGCCTTTTTCTTTTTCGTCTACAGAGAATTGATATGAAAATTCTCTGTTTGAACGATCTGCAATAGCGCAGCTAAAAATAATTACGATTGTGAAATAAAAGTACTAGAGATAATTGAGAACCAAGTTAATGTTTACAGGATTCCAAAGATAAGATGCGATTATAACAGAAACATGTGTTTAGTCTGGAAATAATACCGGTCCAGTCAAGTATATGAGATTCGTTTCAACCATTGTGTTTCTTGGCACATCATCGTACGTTGGGATTAGCCGTTGCACAATATAATAAAAGTACATAAAACAATATTCATGAATCAGTTCCATGAAGCAGGGGCATGTAAGATCTTAGCATGTTTAGATTAAAACAGAAGAACAACAACGGCCAAGGAGCAACTCATTGACTGTGAGGACATCTTAGAGCATCCACATCAGTGCACTCATGGGGAAGGGATTTACACAAATAAAAGATTAATTTTCTTTTTTTTTTCGTTTACTTTACAAAAATAAAAATTAATAATGGACCGATCAATAACTGACACATGGTGAACCCGGGTTTATGGGGGTTCACCGCAGTAAACTTTTGAGAGAAGAGTTCATAGAATTTGATTATTTTATTAATTTTTTTTTTGGTTTACGTGTGAACCTCCCCGCATCATCCCTTGATGGGGGTGCTCTTAGACTAGCGCTGATCCGTAGAACACAGCTTCTGCATAAAACACAATGTGAAAGAAGAAGTCTTACGATGTAAAAATAATTAGGAAATTCAAAACAAAGACCACCGTGCTTTTGAGTTGTTTGTGTATTTTTACCTTTCTCTCTTAGTGTATATTGGTTTATAAACTTTTGAGACCTTCAGAAACTTTTGGAAATTAGAAACATCAAGAAAGTCATGAACTATAGGATTCAATGACCCCCTTCGGATTTGATGCTTATTACGTGGTCCTCCAGGTTTTAATCTCTTTGCACTTTAGGTAGGGTTTTAGTTTGGGAATCCTGAGTTTTCAAAGAAAATCAGTAAAGTCATGACACCTTCAGAAACTTTTGGAAATTAGAAACATCAGGAAAGTCATGAACTATAGGATTCAATGACCCCCTTCGGATTTGATGCTTATTACGTGGTTCTCCAGGTTTTAATCTCTTTGCACTTTAGTTAGGGTTTTAGTTTGGGGATCCTGAGTTTTCAAAGAAAATCACGAACAACAATGTTTGCGTATCATACTAACGATTCCGTTTATAATATGACAGCTGACTTTTTTTAATTCTGTATTGGCCAAGTTAACATTAAATTGAGGAATTAAAACATGCAACTACAACTTCAGTATTTATATTGCCTTTTACAAATAGTTTGGGAATTAAAAACCCATTTTCCCATTTACAACACCATATTTTCGCTACACATCATATTCTTTCTCTTACACATCATCTTCTCCTTTCTTCCACATCACAATTCAATACCCATTCAATTTTTATCCTCTTCACTAGTTTTGTTTAAAAAAAATTACAACACCATATCCCACTAATTTTATTCATATTTTTTTATAGTAAAAAAATATGAAATTTTTTTCTGTGTCTAAATGAAATGAAATAAGTCTCTATTTATAGAAAACAAAAAAATGATAAATTTTGGTATAAATTTTTTAAATATATAATTACAATTTTATGGAATAATTGATGTTAAATAATTGAGAAGGGTAAAGTATGAGAGACCAATCATAATCCAATCAATTTTTGTTTTACAACGATGTTGATAAGTTTCAAAAATGATTTTGCCACATTAGTTTTTTATATTTTACAACAAACCATTGTAAGCTTATCAATATTTGTTAAAATTTACCAACCATGTACAATAGTTTCAACATCCTCTCCACTATCAACACCCTTATTTTCTACTTTTAACATTCCACATTATCTTCTCTTTCTTCCACCTCATTTATTCAACACCCACTTTATTATAAACTTCTACAATGGTTTTGTTTTAATAAATTCAACATCCTACCCTACAACTTTAATTCTTATTTTTTTGTTTTTAAAACATAACAATTACATATTAATAACTAATTTAAAAACTAGAAGAGTTTTGATTGTTAAGAAAATTATTATTGGAATCCATTTAACAAAAAAAAATTAAAACACTAAAAGAGTTGATTATAAAGAAAACATAACATTTTTATATATTCAAATGAAATTAGAGTGGTCTCTATTGTAGATAAAAAAATCTTGAATTTTGATATAAATTTTACTATTTTAAAAAAAGTTTTATTATAGAAAAATGCGTTTGAATTTTTGGATGAGAATAAAAAGTCAGAAGCAATATGTATATCCATTCATAATGCGCCAAACTGCAGAGTTGTGCCAAAGTTTTTTTTTTAAGCTGTTGAAACTTTACAACAGATGTTGAAGACACGTAAATAAGCCAAATTTACCAGCAACAGCCTCATTGCACTACTTTTAACTATTGAAACTATGTTTCAACACCCCCGTTATGGGTGGTCAGACTATATGTATCGGTTACATGTCTACAATACGATATTTTCATTACACATCATCTTCTCTCTTAGACTATGTACAATGATTTCAACACTCTTATTTTCTACTTTTAACATTCCATATCATTTTTTTTTCCTCCTCATTTATTTAACACGCACTTCATTATAAACCTCTGGTTTTGTTTTCAAAAACTCAACATCCTACCCTACAATTTTAATTCTTATTTTTGTTTTTTAAAACATAACAATTACATATTAATAGCTAATTTAAAAACTAAAAAAGTTTTTGATTGTTAAAAAAATATTATTGGGATCCATTTAACAAAAAAATAATTAAATACTAAAATGGTTAATTATAAAGAAAAAATAACATCTTTTTATATATTTAAATGAAATGAGAGTGGTCTCTATTTGTAGATAAAAAATCTTAAATTTTGATATAATTTTTTTTTATTTTAGAAAAATATTATTATATAAAAATGCGTTTGTATTATTCGGTGAGAATAAAAATCATAAGCAAAATGTATATCCATTCATAATGCGCCACATGGAAGAGCTGGGCCCAAATTTTTTTTTCTGCTGTTGAAACTTTACAACAGATGTTGAAGACACGTAAATACACCAAATTTATCAATACCCTCATTGTACTACTTTCAACTGTTGAAACTATGTTTCAACACCCCGATGGTGGGTGGTCTTACACATCATTTTCTGTTTCTTCCACATCAGAATTCAATCCCCTTTCAATTTTTATCCTCTCCAATTGTTTTGTTTAAAAAAATTACAGCACCATGTCCCATAAATTTTATTCATATTTTTATTTTATAGTTATAAATATAACTTTTTTTGGTGTCCAAATGAAATGAAACAAGTTTGTATTTATAGAATACAAAAAATGATGAATTTTGATATAAACTTTTTTATATATAATTTCAATTTTATGAAATAATTGATGTTCAATCATTGAGATGAAAAAAAATGTTAGAAAATATAAACATCTAATCAGTTTTTTACACTTGTCTTCATCTATCTATTTTAGTTGAGATTAAAATCAGAAAGACAAACCTAGTGTTTGGTCTAATCAATATTTATCATGTCATATAAGATGAACTTATTTTTGTTTTACAACGGTAATAGTTTCAACATTAATTTTGCCACATCAGTCTTTTATTTTTTACAACATTTACCAACAGTTGATAAAACTACCATTATAATAAATAGTCTTATAACAATAAGCTTGGCACTGGATCTAGTGATATTGAACAAAATAAGGTTTTCATGGACAAGGATAAATCTCAAAACATAAAATATAAGCTAACTCTTAATTCATATAAGCTTTCAAAAGCTTGCAGATGGAGCGCACAATACATAAAATATATGGAGACAAATGGCTGACTGCTATTAAACAAAATCTGTTTTACAAGAAACAACAAAATATTCCCAAGTTCGGTGTATGAATTTCACTCCAGTATCGTAACAGTAACTACTCTTACAAAATTTTGAACACAAATCTGATGAGGACATGAAGTACCTAAGACTTCAGCTCCGCAAGCCTTTGTCTAACAGTACAAGCAAGCTTCCACTCACCAATGCCAATCAGACGCTCGACCACTTTTTGCCTAACCTTGATATACGGTATGAACCCTTTATCAGTCATTCTCATCACCATCTTCCCTGCCAAAATATATTCCCTAACCTCCAAGCACCCCTCGACCAAAACCTCATAAGTCTCAAATTCCACAGGGTAATCTCTGCTCTCTACAAACTCAATCATCTCAATGGCTTTCCAGATCTCCCTGTTGGCTCTCAAAGCTGCTACCACTTTTGTCAGCATCCCTCTCCGTGGAGATATTCCAGCTTTGCTCACCATCTCTTTCACAATCTTCACCACGTCGCTAGTCTTTCTAGCTAAACACATTGAATTAATCACCGCACCGTAACTTTCCAAATCAGGAACACAACCAGCTCCACTCATTTCCTCCACAACTTTAACCGCCTCATCTAACTTATCAACAGCACAGAGTGATGACACTAAATAGTTGCAGGTTCCAGTGTCAGGACTATACCCAATCAACTTCATCTCATTAATAATATCTGCAACAGACTGAGACCCTCGTCGCCGCCGTTCAAGCCAAGCATCAGAGAGAAGGAGGTGAGTCTGAGTATTGGGAAGACAGCCAGAACGAAGAGTACGCTGTAAAATCGCGAAAGACAAAGGAAGTGGATCTGAGCTCTGAAGGGAGTAAGTGAGAAGACTAGAGTAGACAATCTTGGGGAGAGAACGAGGTCTCACGGGCACAAAACTCTGGAGGATTTCGTCGATGACTCGGATTCTGTGATGATGGTGGAAAGCAGAGAGGAAAGAGAAGAGCTTTGAGTTCTGGTAAGGCTCCTTGAGTGAGACAACGAGATGAGGGATTTGGAGATACTCTTTTGTTTCCACGGCGCCTTTGATGGCCTTCTCAATAGCTTCAAAGGAAGAGACTTGACGAGTAAAGGAGCGAGAGTAAGCAAGAGGGTTTCGTAAATGTGTCAAACGAAATGCCATTATGTAGGACTAGAGATTTGATTGAGTGTAAAGTCATCAACTTGACATCTTAAAACCAAAACCTGCAACAGAAAGTACACATAGAATCATTTGACTAATCAATTCAAAACATATATTTAGGGAGAAAAGTATATTTCCTGAAAATCGAAAGAGGCATACCTGAATGCGTTTTAGAAGATTCCAAGCAAAACCCAGTAAGAATTAACAGGTAGCTAGAGAAGGAATGAGGAGGAACGAGATTTTGTTTCACAGGGGAATATCATCGAACGATTGGAGGGCGGAATGTGGAGAAGTCAAAATGATTAGACAATGACTTGAGGTTCCTTGATCGGATCGAACTGAGTACCAAATCACGATAGACTAATCCGAATCACACATAATCAGCGATCGAATGCTTTGAAGAACGATGAGGAAGGAAGGAAGGACGGAATCTCTTTAAGGTAAGACTGGCGTTTAACACGCTTCTCTTGTGTCTGCTGGGGTTTTACGTGGTTTCAAACCTAACCGGAAAATTTTAATTGGTTTACTTGCAACCGGAAACTGGTTCGGTTCAAGTTTAATAGTGCTCACTTTGAACATTAATCACAATAAAAATCTCTTTAAATTAACTTTAATAGAAATAATCGTAGACGTTGATTTCGAGATTACCGTTTTTTACACCAACAGTTAACCTCCCAACTCACAAGTTTCAAAGAAGGTTTTTGCGGGCGAGTGGAGTTATAAATTAATATACATTAAAAATCTCTACCAAATAATAGAATTTTATAGTTTTAAATCGAGTTTTTATGGTTCAATTAGTATATCGATAAATTAATAATCTCTATAAATTAATAAAAAACTAAAACTTGATTCAATTAGTATATCGATAAATTAATAATATCTATAAATTAATAAAAAGTTATAGTTTTAGTGTAGGTCCAATATTATTAATTTATTGAAGAAGTTACATTGTATAATTTTTTTTATAGTATAAATGAAATACTGTCAGTTTTTTTCTCCTCGAAGACACTATAATTACACCAGGAATTGCACTAAAAATTAAGAAAAAAACTCAACAATATATTTACTATGTAGTCATAAGTAAATAGTAAATAGTCATATTTACTATTTAGTCACTTGCTCGATTACTTACTTAGATTAAGCCCATTAACCACTGCATAATATTGTTGCCTTTGATCTTGAATAGTGAATACTATAAGAAAGTAATCATCTTTTGTTGGAGGAATAATTGAACTTTAATAATAAGGCAATAACATGTAGTATGGAATTGAACTTTAATACAAAACTAACCAATTGTGTTTATCAAACTAATCTATGACGTGTTTATCAAACTAACCAATTGTGTTTAATAAACTAATGGGACAGTGGCTAGATTAATAATGCTTGCGGCGGGACCAATAAAGTCTTTTACTATATGAACTTATATTAGACCGACCGGTATGGCAAATAATTAAAATCAAATGTCGGAATGAGATGAGTTTCCTTGGTTATTTTCGATCCACGACGATCGGCCGAATAAATAGGGCAAAGAAAAGATGATCCAACGGCTGAGACTGAATTGCAAATAAGTCAAACGACCTTATCACGATCGCAAATACGTTCGTACTTCCCAAGGAGATGGATTTGTGGGGTCCATAAAAAATAGTTAAATTGTCGTTAAAAAACTTCTTCTTCTTCGTTGAGACAAGACCGTGCGTGTCTTTAAAACTAAACCAATCGAAATTAGTAACCACCACAACAAACCATCTCAATGTCGGAAAATCGCGCACTCCAGCGAGCACATATCCTCGCCAACCACATACTCCGATCATCATCACCTCCTCTTCCCTCTTCCCTCACGCGCGACGTATGTCTCCAATACTCTCCTCCCGAGCTCAACGAGAGCTACGGATTCGATGTCAAGGAGATGAGGAGACTCCTCGACGGGCACAACGTGGAGGATCGTGATTGGCTTTACGGTCTCTTGATGCAGAGCAATCTGTTTAACCGTAAAGAGAGAGGAGGGAAGGTGTTCGTGTCTCCTGATTACAATCAGACGATGGAGCAGCAGCGAGAGATCACCATGAAGCGGATCTGGTACTTGCTTGAGAAAGGGGTTTACAGAGGATGGTTGACTGATTCAGGTCCTGACGCTGAGCTCAAGAAGTTAGCTCTTCTTGAGGTTTGCGGGATCTATGATCATTCCCTCTCCATTAAGCTTGGTGTTCATTTCTTCTTGTGGTATGTTTCAATTAGTCAGCTTTATATAGAATTTTATAGATTAAAAAGGCTTCTAGACCGATTTTTTGAACGCATAACCAATTTTTTAAAAAGTTTTTGAGTAAAAATTAGGTCTAATTTGCATTTCTAGAACATTGGTTTTAAGTTACAGTTTCATACACATATGTGTCTAATTTCTAGTTTCAGTATAAAGTGTACTAAGAAAGAACCAATTGATTGAAGTATTGTGGTTTAGTCTTTTAGTTTCAAACACATTGATGGAGTTTCAGTAGCTTGGTCTCTGCATTATTCATATGAACATGATTAGTTTTTAAGTTTTTTTTTTTTGTTGGTAAAAACACATGATTAGTTTGTGTTTTTGGTTGATGATATAACAGATTATTGAAAAGATAATTTTGAGATCTATATGTAAATTTTGTAAGTTTTTAATTTAATGTGTGATACTTCAGGGGTAATGCTGTGAAGTTCTTTGGGACAAGGCGACACCATGAGAAGTGGCTGAAGAACACAGAAGACTATGTTGTCAAGGGATGTTTTGCAATGACTGAGTTAGGACATGGAAGCAATGTAAGGATATTTCAGTTGCAAACTATATATATGTCTTAGTGATCGTTCAGGGCTATATTGATTTCTATTTTTTTTGTTTCAGGTGAGGGGAATTGAAACTGTGACTACTTATGACCCAAGAACTGGTGAGTTTGTGATAAACACTCCTTGTGAATCTGCTCAAAAGTATTGGATCGGTGGGGCAGCTAAAGTAAGTATATGTCATTTAGTTTTCTCCATCTGAGTTAATATCATATACTAACTTTGTATTAATTTTTGGTTGTTTCAGCATGCAACCCACACAATAGTCTTTTCACAGCTTAATATCAACGGAACCAACCAGGGAGTTCATGCCTTTATCGCGCAAATTAGGGATGATGATGGCAACATATGTCCAAACATCCGTATTGCCGACTGTGGACACAAAATTGGATTAAATGGTGTTGACAATGGCCGAATCTGGTAACTGCACACAGCTCAGTGTTCTGTAACTTGTTACCTTATACTAAGGTTGTTGTTTATTCATGAAAGTCTGTAATATGATTATAGGTTTGACAATCTTCGAATTCCAAGAGAGAATTTATTGAATTCAGTTGCTGATGTTTCACCTGAGGGGGAGTATGTTAGCGCAATCAAAGATCCTGATCAGGTAAATACTACACCTTGTGACCATTTTGAAGATAATCTTTAATATGCTTGTGGAGTTGCAGTGACAATATTTTTCAATTTTGTATCAGAGATTTGGAGCATTCATGGCCCCTTTGACCTCTGGTCGTGTCACAATTGCATCAAGTGCGATTTACTCTGCAAAGGTATTTGATCTCTTGTACAAACCTTTTGTTGATATATGAAACAGACTGTTTCGGGAGTAAATAATAATTGATTACGATTTTTTTATTGTGAAAGGTTGGATTAGCTATTGCTTTAAGGTACTCACTTTCGAGAAGAGCCTTCTCTATTAAAGCCAATGGTCCTGAAGTGCTCCTTCTTGATTATCCAAGCCATCAACGGCGTCTGCTACCTCTCCTAGCAAAGACGTAATCATCTTTATGAGATATGACTTTTAATAAGTAACTTAGATAACCTGTTATTAAAATAAGTAGAGATTTTGCCAAGTTTGTTAAAATTGTGTTTGTCTTCTTTAACTGTTTATCTTCTATAACAGATATGCTATGAGTTGTGCTGCAAATGACTTGAAGATGATATATGTGAAGAGGACACCTGAAACCAATAAAGCCATCCATGTTGTCTCAAGTGGACTCAAAGCTGTTCTCACCTGGCACAATATGCGAACGCTTCAGGTTAGAACCAATATACCATAATGCATTTTGATGTGAATTTTTTTCTCTGATGAGCTACACTAAAAGGGTTTGGTTTTTGTACTTTCTAAGGAATGCCGTGAAGCTGTTGGAGGGCAAGGTATTAAAACAGAAAATCTAGTTGGTCAGTTGAAAGGTGAATTTGATGTGCAGACTACATTTGAGGGTGACAACAATGTATTGATGCAGCAGGTAGGCTAAGGCAAACAACTACGAAACATGATCTCCTTGTTTTGATCATACAATGTGACTTATTTGTTATTACATGTGGAATCTAGGTGAGCAAAGCACTGTTTGCTGAATATGTATCATGTAAGAAGAGAAACAAACCTTTCAAGGGATTGGGATTGGAGCACATGAACAGTCCTTGTCCTGTATTGCCAACTCAGCTCTCATCTTCTACCCTCAGATGCAGCCAGTTTCAGGTTAGTTGTCTCATAGTGTTCTCCCTCGTATCATTTGTTTAGATAAACTCTCTGCTAAACATCTCTCATTATTTTGTCATTGTCAGAAAAATGTGTTCTGCTTAAGAGAGCGAGATCTTCTAGAAAGATTTACTTCTGAAGTTGCACAGCTTCAAGCGAAGGGAGAGAGTCGAGAGTCATCTTTCCTCGTGGTAAGCATTTCTTCTCATACAATCGTTTTTCTACTAATTCAGTGATATGGTCTTGATCCTTTTCTATCATCTGTGGTTGCAGAATCATGAACTTGCTGAGGACTTAGGTAGAGCTTTCACAGAGAAAGCAATACTGCAAACTATTTTGGATGCTGAGGCCAAACTACCTGCTGGCTCATTGAAGGTAAGTTAATTTTTTCTTGACATTTTAAACGTATTTAGTTGAATCTTGGTTTGCTTTGCTAGCTAGGGGTCACCTTAGTTTTCCAGAGCATATCTTTACTTCTCTAAGCACATTAGTTCTGTTCTTTATGAAGCTGTTATGTAGACTAGTACTACTCGTACTAGCAGAGGAACTAAACTAAATAGCTCCATATGTGTTGTAATGATAGGATGTGTTGGGTCTTGTAAGATCAATGTACGCATTGATCAGCATTGAAGAAGATCCATCGTTCTTGAGATACGGTTACCTCTCAAGGGACAATGTTGGAGATGTGAGGAGAGAAGTTTCAAAGCTCTGCGGAGAGATTAGACCTCACGCGCTTGCACTGGTCAGTTCATTCGGGATACCGGACGCGTTCTTGGCTCCAATTGCATTCAACTGGGTCGAAGCCAATGCTTGGTCTTCAGTTTAGTTACTACAAATAAACTCTTCCAAATAATCCACGTCTTATATGTGTTCTTTAATATTCTGAAGCTATTGTTGAATGCTCTTGGTAATAAAAGGGGTATGTAATATTTATCCACGGTTTAGTCTTTACCCAAACTGGTTCAGATCATATTATGGAATAAGTTTTATTTCTCTACGATTACTACAACTCAAAAAATATACATGTCTCCTTCATATATAAATGTAACTTTTTGTACTTTTATTTCCAATTATATTTCTCAAAATGACTTGCTCTTAGATTCATGATCTTTCATATATATTGGGGGAGCTTGGAGACTGGTAAGAGCACCCCCATTGAAGGTTCATGGGGGGAGTTCACACGGAAATCAAAAAAAAATAATAAAAAAATAATAAAAACCTATGAATCCCTCTCTCCTAAAGTTCACCGCGGTGAACCTCTCTTTCCTGAGGTTCAACACGTGGCGGCTCGGGATTGGTCTAGATTTTTTTTTTGTTCTTTTTTAAAAAACAAAAAATCAAAAAGAAAATAGAAAATTTTTAATAATAAAAAAATGATTCAATGAACCCCAAGAGGGGGTTCATTGATGTGGATGCCCTAAGATGCAAATTTTCATTTTAAACACTACTCCCTCCGTTTCAGATTATTTGTCATTCTAGGTTTTTACACACAGATTAAGGAAACATTTAACTTTATATATTTTCAATATAAAAACACAATTACCAATACACCTAAGGGCATAATTAACCCACAAACCCTTTATGGGTTTCTTATTTTTTTTTTAATTTTTTTTTAATTTTTCTTTTCTGATTAAAAAAATATAAAAAAGTGAGAACTAATAGCGGGCCACCACGTGTCAGTGGAGCCCGCAAACAGTGCAAAATACATCTTTAAACCGTTTCTTATTTCAGCTCTTTTCAACCTGTTTCTTATAACTTTTTGATGGAGCCTACATATAAAGTCACCTAAGAACCCTCCTTGTGCCTTGCGATAATCGTGGTCTAACCATTTTTCAACCAATAGAAAAATAGAATATTATATAAACATAATAAATTTTGTCTCGAAACTCTAAAACTACACTTATTTTGAAACGAAATTTTTCCTCTAGAATGACATCTAATTCGAAACGGAGGGAGTATTAAACTAATGATTTAAGAACATAAAGATCAAAGACATTTAAGTCTACAAAAAGACAAGACATAAAACATTCATTTATTTTGGAAAAGAGAAACAAACAACCATAATCTCGAACTTATATAAACTCTCTAGTCGTTGTTACTATAGAACTTAGGAACTAGATCACTTTAAAAAATAAGTTTCTGACTACTGCCTTATGCAAATAACTCAAATCTTATAAGATTATGGTTATTTTAATTAAATAAAACATCAACGAGCGAGAGCCAACTTCTGTTTTTGCAACTCCGTAGGCAACTTCACATCGGTGGCTAGTCCAAGAACTTCAAATAGTCGAATGAGATACCAAGTGATATCTATCTGCCACCATTCAAGTCCTTGCCTCGCCGATGACTGAAACGCATGGTGGTTGTTGTGCCAACCATCTCCCATCGTAACTAAACACAGCCACCTTCATATATATTCACACGATAGTGTCATACAGTGTTCTAATAAAAAACAAATGTTTATATATGATTATGAGAGTTCTTAATATTATGTTACCAAACGTTATGAGATGTGTCGTTAGTCTTCCACGGCCTCGAACCCCAAGTATGGCCTACCGAGGCTACGAGCCATGTCACGTGGTACCCTATTACACCTCCAACGCCCTGTCATCAAATTCGTAAATAAAATAGTTAGACCAAGATGTTTCGTACATTTTATTATTTGAACTACGTACTAGTTAACGTTTCATACATATTATTCTGCAAAAAAAAAATAAAGAAAAAGATTACCCCGCCGCATGTAAGGTAAGGTAAACCACCGTAGAGATAGAGAGCGGTCCAGTACATTAAGACGTGGAAGCCAATTGTCTTTCGTAGAAACCTATAGAACCATTGTTTCTTCAAGTCCATCACGTTGTTACGTCCACCACACTGTTACAGTAGTTAGCATTGTTACAAACAACATCATACGTCATATTATATATGTACGTATACGTTACCTTATATTTTATATAAAGGGTGTCAAATATCCACATGATATGGCTGAACAAAAGTCCTTCGTTAGGGCTATGTGGGTCGCGGTCCGAATCACTGAACTGGTGGTGGAACCTATGTATGCTCACCCAATCCAATGGATCACCCTGGAAATATTCAATATTCTTTCTCTATCATACTTCGAATAAATATAGATTTAGTTATCAATAAACGGGTTTGGTTTACAAAAATATATAATAATAAACAAGATTTTGACCTGAAGAGCGAAAACAGCAGCGTAAGCAAAAGGATATTCAAGCCATTTTGGGAGCTTAAAGCTCCCATGAGACAAGTTTCTATGGTACGAGAATGTGATGAGCAGGTTAGTCACTGCGGCGAGAATCAGACCGAACCGTAATGCTTCCCATTTGTAGTTAAATGGCGCCAGGAGACACCAAAAGTGCACAGTCGTGACGGTTACCGCTCTTGCTATATCGGCCCACGACCAATGTCTCTGAAAATATGCTCTTTTTTCATTAGGCACCATGTCGCTTTGGCTAAAGCCATCGTCTCTAGTGGGATTACACATAACAAAAACCCTAGGGGGAGTTGCACACTTGTTTTAGTTGTAACTTATGAGTACTTGTATGAACATAAGATTGAGTGGGTATATATAGGCTACAGTCCATCTTGTTAAATGCTCTTGTTAAAACCAATTTACTTAAATGCTCTCTAACTGCATTTCTAAATTTAATCTTTAGTATCATGGTAGGCATCACATGTTTTCACTCATTCCAAGACCTAAACAAGGTTTTTTATAGCCTATACCTTTATAATTTATCATTATTATAGACAAAGAATCAGTAATTTGTCCGTGCTTTAGTAAATTACGGCATCTCTACGTACCAGCGAACACTAAAATTGGATTGTTTCCAAATGAGGAATTGATTAATAAAGCCCTAACGGCCGAAAGCCATTTCTTAGACTGGTTTTCTTTATATATAGATCCTTTAAACACGACTTAAAATCTGGTTGGTAAGTCCAAACATTAAATTTTACACAGTGGAGATTTTTACGACTTCATTGTGATGCCTATCCATTTCATGCAGTGGTTTTAAGTTTAGCTTTGAAGCCTTCTATATATCAATATCATCCCAAAATGGCAAAGACATGATAAAAATCTTAACCATCTGGCTGCATTCTCAAAGTTGAGTGCCTTGTCACGTCGTTATAGTCCAGTATTTAGCTATAAGAGATCATTGTCTATTGGGGAACTTTTAAAAACACACGTTAAGGAAAGAAGCAAACACACGTTAAGGAAAGAAGCAAACACACGTTTAGTCCATATAAAAACCAATGGAGTTGGGCTATGGCACTTGAGGGATAACCTCAATACGGTGAATCCTCAGTTCCATTTTTCCGTTGGTCATGCAGATATAGACTATTGCTTTCGGTATATTTATATATGTCGGAGAGAGTTTATCTATGAACTGCAATTTCCACTTAAGGATTATATTTGATTCTTTAATAGATCTGGATTTAATTTTCTAAGACAAAAAAAAATTATTTAGTTGCAAAATAAAAACTTTAGCCGATATATACCCGCAATCTGATTAGCACCCAAAATGTGGTTGCACGCTAAGCATATTTGATGATATATTCTAAATCAAACTGAACTTAATTTAACCTCTCTTGACTAACTTTATCCCAAATATGAGATTTGCCAGCTTTATGGGCTAAGACCCATAGCTTCCGCGTCGTCATTGCTTTGCTGTTTCTTTCTTTTGGTTCAGATTGTGTTCTCTTGCATTGGCTTTATTGGGTCCGTATTTTTGTTAGATGACGTTTGGTGGCGACAACCATGCTGTCCTCTGGTGTTCTTCAAGCAACAAGGATGGTGGCAATATCAAAATGAAGACTAAGTACACTTCAATAGCTGTTAATTTGTGTTCTAATGGACAAGGGTGCGTTCCACAAGAAACCAAGCAATGTTCATGTTAAAAAGGGACATGATCCTTTTTAATCGCGTAATTAAATTAGAATAAATACAGTATCTCAGCAGATGTTTAGGGCAAGAGCCAAGAGATCAAAACAAGAGTTGAGTTTTTCTTGGGACACACGAAAAGAATCTTAACCTAAAAGTCAACACTCCGAAATAAAATTCAGGTAACTCTCTCCCTCCCTCTTTCTCGGAAACCCCTAGATATGTCGGAAAATCACGCACTCTGGCGAGCTCATGTTTTGGCTAATCACATACTCCAGTCACCTCCCTCGCCTTCGAACATCTCCCTCACGCGGGAGGTTTGCTTGCAGTACACTCCACCTGAGCTCAACGAGAGCTATGGATTCGATTTGAAGGAGATGAGGAAACTGCTCGACGGACACAACTTGGAGGACAGAGACTGGCTTTACAGGATCTTGATACAGAGCAATCTCTTCAACAGGAAGATAAGAGGAGGCAAGGTGTTCGTGTCGCCTGATTACAATGAGACAATGGAGCAGCAGCGTGACATCAGCATGAAGCGGATCATGTACTTGCTTGAGAAAGGTGTCTTTCAAGGATGGTTAACGGAGACAGGTCCTGACGCTGAGCTCAAGAAGTTTGCTCTCTATGAGGTTTGCGGGATGTATGATTACTCTCTCTCAGCCAAACTCGGTGTTCATTTCTTGTTATGGTATATGCTCAAGAAATAAAATGAATAACTACATGCTTTATATTCATTTCATGTGACATGATTTAAGTTTAGGGGTAATGCTGTTAAGTTCTTTGGCACAAAGCGTCACCATGAGAAGTGGTTGAAAGACACTGAAGATTATCTTGTCAAGGGCTGTTTTGCAATGACTGAGTTGGGCCATGGAAGTAATGTAAGAGAGAACTATATTCTCTAGTGTCATTTTGCAGATATGAGAAACTATAATGATCTTTTGATTCAATGCTTTTCAGGTGAAGGGAATTGAAACAGTGACTACTTATGACCCAAGAACTGAGGAGTTTGTAATAAACACTCCTTGTGAATCTGCTCAAAAGTATTGGATCGGTGAGGCAGCTATAGTAAGTAGTTTCTCTGCTTCAACTCTGTTTTTTTTCTTCTATATGCTAACTTTTGGTTATTCAGCATGCAACACATGGGATAGTGATTTCACAGCTTGAAATAAACGGAACCAACCAAGGGATTCATGTCTTTATAGCTCAAATCAGAGATAAAGATGGGAACATATGTCCAAACATCCGCATTGCTGACTGTGGACACAAGATTGGTTTAAATGGTGTTGACAATGGCCGTATATGGTTAGTAGTACACACAACTCAATGTCATTTCATTTGTACTTTTTATTTAGGCTTTATCCTTAGTTGAAGACTGCAATGTGACTATAGGTTTGACAATCTTAGAATCCCAAGAGAGAATTTACTGAACTCAGTTGCTGATGTTTCATCTGATGGACAGTATGTTAGCGCCATTAAAAATCCTGATCAGGTCACTACTAAAAACCAAACTTTAGGATAAGCATATTATATTGTTTTGTGGTGTTGTAGTGACAATGTTTTCAAATTTTATTTCAGAGATTTGGAGCATTCTTGGCCCCTTTGACCTCTGGTCGTGTCACCATTGCTTCAAGTGCCATTTACTCTGCAAAGGTATAAATCTCAATTTGACTATCTCTGAACTAAATGTTACTGATTAAGATTCTTAATATGGCAGGTCGGATTAACTGTTGCTATAAGATACTCATTATCTAGAAGAGCCTTCTCTGCTGTAGCCAATGGTCCTGAAATGCTCCTTCTTGATTATCCAAGCCATCAAAGGCGTCTGCTACCTCTCCTAGCAAAGACGTAAGTATACTACCTTATCTCTCTTGGAAGATTATTATTTCTAAGTGAATCTTATGTATCCTAGATATGCTGTGAGCTTTGCTGCAAATGACATGAAGATGAGTTACGTGAAGAGGACATCTGAGACCAACAAAGAGATTCATGTTGTCTCAATGGGACTAAAAGCTGTTCTCACCTGGCACAATATGCGAACCCTTCAGGTGCCTGACTAAACTTTTATGTTAGAAAGCTCATATAGTCCATACTGGTGTTATATTATGTTCTTGGCTTTTTTTCAAGGAATGTCGTGAGGCTTGTGGAGGGCAAGGTTTGAAAACAGAGAATAGAGTTGGTCATTTAAAAGGTGACTACGATGTGCAGACTACATTTGAGGGTGACAATAATGTTCTGATGCAGCAGGTAAGCTAAGTAACATAACTAATGTCTGAAATTTTAATTGTTTTGACTATACAATGTTACTTATTGGTTCTTATGTGTCAAATTCAGGTGAGCAAGGCACTTTTTGCTGAGTATGTATCGTGTAAGAAGAGGAACAAACCTTTCAAAGGATTAGGTTTGGAGCACATGAATATTCCTCGTCCTGTATTGCCTTCTCAACTCACATCTTCTATCCTTAGATGTAGCCACTTCCAGGTCATAATAACTCATATAATCATTTTATTAAGATGAATTCAACTTTTTGTTAAACATCACTTGTATTTTGTCCCTAGCAGAAGAATGTATTCTCCATACGAGAGCGAGATCTTCTAGAACGATATACTTGTGAAGTTGCAGAGCTTCAAGGGAGAGGAGAAAGCAGAGAGTTCTCCTTCCTCTTGGTTAGCATTTCTTGTAACATAACCTTTGGTTGAGTTTCTCATATACTAATGGTTCTATATTCTTGCAGAGTCATCAACTTTCTGAAGATCTAAGCAAAGCTTTCGCAGAAAAAGCAATCTTACAAGCCGTTTTGGATGCTGAAGCCAATCTACCAGTTGGTTCCATTAAGGTGAGTGCAAATAACTGTTTTACTACTCTAAGCACAATAGATTATATAGATAATGTGAGTGCAAATAACTGTTTTACTACTGTAAGCACATTAGTTTATGGTCTTTTAGAGTTTTAGTCATGACATTTTTTTGTAGACTACAGACTACAAGAGGAACCAACAGCTAACTAGTTCCATGTATTTTGATGATTAGGATGTGTTGGGTCTTGTAAGATCAATGTACGCATTGATGTGCATGGAAGAAGATCCATCGTTCTTGAGATATGGTTACCTCTCAAGGGACAATGTTGGAGATGTGAGGAGAGAAGTTTCTAAGCTGTGTGGAGAGCTTAGACCACACGCGCTTGCACTCGTCATTTCATTTGGTATTCCAGACGCGTTCTTGGGACCGATTGCATTCAACTGGGTCGAAGCCAACGCCTGGTCTTGAATATTATGTCGTACTACAAATAATCCATTCCATAATTTCAAAACATATAGTTTGAAATTGCTGTAATATTACTAGTGTAATTTATCAAAGGATTAATATTCTCAGCTTTTGACTGTTCAAGGTTTGGGAGTATAATAATAACTTATAATTATTTTTGTAACAAATACTACTTCCTTTTCATATTGAGTGTCGTTTTAGAGGGAAAATTTTCGTCACAAATTAAGTGTCGTTTTCGGTTTTTAATGTAAAATTTATTAATTTTATTCTGTAATTTATTTTTCCATTGGTTGAAATAAGGTTAGATGTATAGATAATTGTGTTTTTATGTGGAAAATAAACAAAATTTATTGTTTCCTTAATCTGTGTGCACATTTATTATGAAATATAGAGAGTAATTTGTTATGGAGGCTTTAGTGTATTTGTACATGTACTGTATAGTAAAAACAAAACAAGATTTTTCTTTTCTTGGTAAGAACTTAATAAATACTAATACATATGTCTCCATATATATAAAATGAATTTTGTGTACTTTTTTTTGAATAAGATGAATTTTGTGTACTTATGATTTGATTATGTATTTAAAATGACTTGCTCTTTGATTTGATGTCATTCAGTGTATATATTAAACTTGTAGGCTAGTAAGATGCAATTTTTTCATTTTAAACAAATATACTTAATCTAATGATTCGAGAATACACTCGATCAAATACATATAAAACAACCATGGTTTTGAAACAGAGAAAAATAAAATAACCATAATTGTGAACTTATATAAATGTTCTAGTCGTTTTTACTATATAACTTCTTTTTGTAACCATCTTATAACTTAGATTAGTTTATAAATAAACTTCTCATTAGTGCCATATGCGAATAATTCAAAATCTTAAAATAAACATCAATGAACGATAGCCAGTTTCTGTTTTTGAAATTCAGAAGGCAACTTCACATCGGTGGCTAGTCCGAGAACCTCAAATAGTCGAATAAGGTACCAAGTGATATCTATCTGCCACCATTCAAGTCCTTGCCTTGCCGATGACTCAAACGCATGGTGGTTGTTGTGCCAACTCTCTCCCATCGTAAATATGCTTAGCCACCTTCATCATATATTCACAAGATACTCAAATAGTGTTTCATAGTAAACAAGATGTCATAATATTATTCCATATAAAAATTCTTGTTTGTTCTTTTAAGATCATTTTCTGGATGTTATATCTTTATCCCTTTCAACTGATAGCAGACTGGTTCACTCGTCAGATTTTGATGTTTTCAGTGTCGGTCCTAGGATTCCATATGTTAGAAGTCAAAAATTAAAAAAATGGTCGAAATGTTGGCTATAGGACTCAAACCATGGTTCATGGCGCAGGAGAAACAAACTGTTTAACCACTACACTAAAGACAACTTTTGACAAAATGCGACCGGTTATTTTTATATATATTTATGGCCGGAAGTCCATGCTTCTTTTGCCTGGATCCAGGGCCGACTCTGGATGTTCTTATAATGAGAATTCAAATAGTTGATTAATATATAGAATTCTTGTATTATATTACCACACGTTACGAGATGTGTCTTTAGTCTTCCATGACCTCGAACCCCAAATATGGCATGCCGAGTTTACGAGCCATGTCACGTGGTACCCTAGCACACCTCCAACGCCCTGTCATCAAATATCATCAATTTCGTAACTAATAGTTATATCAAGAAAACATATATAGTTTATATAAAGACGTTTCATACATATTATTCTTTGAACTATACGTACCACTAGTTAATGTTTCATACATATTCTTTTCTGCAACAAAAATTAAAGAAGATTACCCCGCCGCATGTAAGGTAAGGTAAACCACCGTAGAGATAGAGGACGGTCCAAAACATTAAGACGTGGAAGCCAATTGTCAATCGTAGAAACCTATAGAACCACTGCTTCTTCAAGTCCATCACGTTGTTACGTCCACCACACTGTTACATTAATTTGCATTGTTACAACAAAAGTCATACTATGAAGAAGATATGAGAGAAAACTATACGTTACCTTATATTTTATATAAAGAGTGTCAAATATCCACATGACATGGCTGAACAAAAATCCTTCTTTAGGACTATGTGGGTCACGGTCAGAATCAGTGAACTGGTGATGGAACCTATGTATGCTCACCCAATCCAATGGATCACCCTAAAAATATTCAATAATTATTTCTCTAATCATATTTCAAGTAGAATTTGCTTTTTAAACATATATTATGATACTCATTAGTTATTCACTTATCAATAAACCGGGTTTGGTTGACAAAAGAATATATAAATAGTAAACCAGGGTTTTAACCTGAAGAGCAAAAACAGCAGCGTAAGCGATAGGATACTCAAGCCATTTTGGGAGCTTAAAGCTCCGATGAGCCAAGTTCCTATGATACGAGAATGTGATGAGCAGGTTAGTCACTGCGACAAGAATCAAACCGAACCGTAATGCTTCCCACTTGTAGTTAAATGGCGCCAAGAGACACAAAAAGTGCACCATCGTGACCGTTACAGCTCTCGCTACATCAGCCCACGTCCAATATCTCTGAAAATATGGTCTTTCTTCCTTACGCACCATGTCGCTTTGGCTAGAGCCATCGTCTCTAGTGGGATTACACATAACAGACTCTTGAGGAGTTGCACTTGTTTTAGTTGTAACTTTATGAAGTTGTATGAACATAAGACTGAGCAGATATGGGTATATATGGTGTGCTAATGTAGTTGTGTCACGGTCCACCTTGTTAATTGGAATTTACGACTCTTCTTGAATGCATGCTCTCTATCTACTTTCTTGAATTTCATCTTTAATATAATGGCAGCAGCACATGTTTCACCCATCCCAACAATAAATTAAAGGTTTACAGCCAATACTTTTTTTGATATTGGACCATTATGAAAGAAAGAAAGATCTATAATTGGTGCGTAGTTGAGTAATAACAGCATCTCTACTTACCAGGTAATACACTTAACCTGGCTTGTCTCCCAATAAGGATATAACTAATAAAGCCCCAACGGCCAAGTCCATTTCTTCGACTAAATTTCTTTAGATATTCACTTAAATACGTAAATTAGCAATCACTTACAATCTGGTTACACAGATGAATATTTTTAAGTCATTTTGAAGCTATCCATTTATGCAGTGCTTTAAGTATATATCTCGCTGCATTCTCAAATTTCGAGTGCATTGTGACGTCGTGGATATAAGTAAAGCACCTACACCTCCTCTGTAGTAAGCACTTGTGATTGTTCCGTATCTATCAAAGAACATAAACAAAACCATCATCTTTTTCAAAGATGCTAACAGAAACACAATAACAATCACATGTTGCAGTAACACCGCCTAAAGGCTTTTTTTTAGTAGCCATACTACTCGTATAGCAATTGTCTTTAGAAGCAATTCAACGTATCAACTATCAACCAACACGGTTTCTTTTTAAAAGTAAAAATCGCAGAGTTAATGGAAGAAATGCAAATCCATGTCACCAAAACATGATAGAATCACAAAATAACAAATCACGAGTAGCCAGAATGTGGTTGGGAACTTGAGCGCTAAGCATATTGATGATACAAATATATCCTAAGTCGAAACGAACCTTTCTTGACTAACAGTATCCCACATCTCAACTTTATGGGCCAAGACCCATAACTTCTGCCTCTTCATCACTTTGCTGTCTATACTTCTAGTTCAGATTGTGTTCTCTTGTATTGGGCTAAGACACATAAATTCTGCCTAGACTAAGTTGGGCTATGTATTTTACTTTTATTCCCTTTTAAATTTTTTTATAAGAAAGCCTTTTTTTTTTCAACTTATAAGAAAGCCCCTTTGTTAAGAAAAACAAACATAAACTCATAAAAGTCCTGATTCAAAGTCTGGGATTTATTTTATTTTGACTGTAATTAACACGTTCGTAATATGGAATTAACAACTACCATCCAGAAAACTGACAACACAAACAAAAGTCGATAGCTGTAACCGCAAGGCTACAACTAATAATCAAAATCATTAAAGAGTAAAGACAAAGGTGCAACCAACAACTAATTGACCAACTAGCTTCATTATATTTTAATCAACCACCATACATAATGACTCTTCAGCCCAGTTTAAAATGACCCAAAAACAAAAAAACGTAAGCAATTTGCTCATATTCTTATTAATCACCACTCCTTTAAAGTGTTCCCTATTTCAACACGTGTATACAACGACTCTGACCATTAGCAAAGAGCTAGTGGTCTCCACAGCATATACGCCAGCATCTATATCACGCGTCGTCACGATATCACGTGTCCGCCTCTCCACTCGCTTCTGGTGCCGCGTGAGGTATCTCCCTTGGGCCATATACCAGCTGGCAATAGTGCGAGTCCGGCTGGCTACTTGCCTTATCCAATATTTTTATAAACGAAAGGGAATGATACAACGACGAGGCTGTCACTTCCTTGTATACGTCATGGTCCACCAATTGATTGGTCGTCTCGTTAAGTACGTTGTGAAAAACGACATGACAACGAAGCAACGACTCGGTGACGGTCTTTTAAAATAATCACAGTCATAGCTCCTTCTATTTGACCAATAAAAATCATAACAACTTTTGAATAATAAACAGTAACTAAAATAATAATATTACTTTTGAGATTCACATATCCAACTACAGCTTCCATATCAAACACGATGTACAACTGTTCTTTTTTTTTTTGGATCAAACACGTTGTAGATGTACGACTGTTATACGTACGCTTTTACATCAAAATATCATAATTTAACCCTTTATTTCCGATGTTTATAATTTGACCCTATAGTTTTGAATAACGTCAAAAAGAAACCATACATAGTTTCTTCCTTATAAAAGAAATTACATGTATATCTAATCCAATATATTTCCTTTTCTGTCAATATATCCACTTTTCATCTCTATTTTTAATTGGTGATTTTTTTCTTTTCAATAAATAAAAGTTTAGAAATGATATAGATATATGAAAGGTTTAATCAAATTAAGCATGTTAACTACCCATATAAAAAAAAAAGTAACCAAGCGAGGACGGCCTAGAGGTTTTGAGGGAGCTTCGGCGCCAATACGGATCTGGGTTCGAATCCCATTGACCATTGAAGGTAAAATTTAAAATCTGGGCTCCCCCAACATTTGGTGACCGAGGCGTACTCCGGCCGATAACGTAGACTAATACGGACACTAACCGCTAGTCTGGATCCACCTTGGTGGATGCCATATACACCACATTATTCAAAAAAAGGTAATATTTGCCAAACTTTTTTTCCAACAGTAAGATTGATCAATCTGTAATTACTTTCTCATTATAAAGGAAAGGTTATTTCTTATTTTGGTAAAAAGAAATTTGGTAAAAATTAATATTTAAATGTCTGATGCAAATAATAAATTAAACTTTAAATCCAAAATAAATCAAAAATAAAACATCATTGTAATAACTTATCAATAATAAAAAAAATCTAACTCCAAATCATTTCAACTAATTTTGGTTTTTGTTGCTAACCTTCAGTTCATTTTCTTCAGGTAGTATAGTAAAATCTTCATTAAAATCTAAAAGTCACAGATAAAATAGTTTAATAGGTATTATGTATGATAAAAAATCTGAAAGTTTAATCTAAATTTAAAGAAAAAGAATGCAATGCTAATAATTAAAACGTGAAAATCCAACTTTTAAATTAGAAATTTAGAATATAAAACAGAATAAAAACATAATTTTAAACTAAAAAAAATAAAAATTTATTTATTGGTTCAACCAGTGGTCCAACCCGGCATTGGGTTTTAGGTTTTAATGGATTTTTCTGAATTTTTGCTGGTTTTTAAATTTTGGATTTTGATAAACACCCAAACTAGATTTATTTTTGGTCACCGAATTTATCAGTTCAACCGCGGATCTGCGTCGGGTTTCAAAACACTGATAATTATTTTCTCATTATAAAGGAAATTTTATTTCTTATTTCGGTAAGAAATTTTTGGCTTGGGAAAATAACATAGTTGTTAGAACAGCTTCGTGTAGAATAGAAGGGTATATATGCTATTATTGTAAAATACACATATGAGGCTGGAAACAGAGATTTTTAATTTATTTTCTTTTTAGAGTCCTCAATATTTTTTTTTATTAGCTCCAGTTGGTATTTGGGTATCACTCAAGCTCTCGATTTGGCTTTGATGATTGTTCAACCAACTCAGGAAGTATTTGATCACTTTTGCCATCTCCGTGCGTAGATCTTGTTCGTGGAGATTCTTGTATCCATCGGAGACAGAGAAGATGATTTCTAGGTCGTACACCAACTTGTTAGACCTTGCCTCAGGTAACTTCCCTGTCATTGAGAGAGAGCGTACTAGTAGCAATAGTAGCAGGAGGCTTCCTAGGGTAATGACAGTTCCTGGTAACGTCTCCGAGTTTGATGATGATCTTTCTTCAGACAATCAATCCTCCGTTTCCTCTGATCGAATGATCATAGTCGCTAGTCATCTCCCCTTGAAAGCCGAGAGACGAAAAAACGGGAACTGGAGTTTCACCTGGGATCAAGACTCATTGTTTCTACATCTCAAGAACGGTTTACCTGAGGACATGGAAGTGCTATACATCGGATCTTTAACCGTTGACGTTGACCCACACGAACAAGACGAGGTAGCGCAGATACTCTTGGAAAAATTCAAATGCGTTCCGACTTTTTTCCCACCTGACTTGCAATCCAAGTTTCACGACGGGTTTTGCAAGAGGCAGTTATGGCCGTTATTCCATTACATGCTTCCTTTTTCATCAGGATTTGATCGGTCTATGTGGGAAGCTTACGTGGCAGCAAACAAGCTCTTCTTCCAGAAAGTCATCGAGGTTATAAACCCTGATGATGATTATGTGTGGATCCATGATTACCATTTGATGGTTTTACCTACTTTCTTGAGAAGACGGTTTAACCGGATTAGAATCGGTTTCTTCCTCCACAGTCCATTCCCTTCATCAGAGATCTACAGGTCTCTCCCTGTTCGTGAAGAGATTCTTAAAGCGTTGCTGAACAGTGACATCATTGGCTTCCACACGTTTGATTACGCTCGTCACTTCTTAACCTGTTGTAGCAGGATGTTGGGGTTGGAGTATCAGTCCAAGAGAGGCTACATAGGGCTGGAGTATTACGGGAGAACCGTGGGGATAAAGATAATGCCTGTGGGGATCAACGTTGATAGGATTCAAGATGTGATGAGATGTTCTGAGGAGGAAGGTAAGGTGATGGAGCTTAAAAAGCGTTACGAAGGTAAAACAGTTTTGCTTGGGATTGATGAGTTGGATATATTCAAAGGTATAAATCTTAAGCTACTAGCGATGGAGCAAATGCTTAAGCAACACTCTAGCTGGAGAGGAAAGGCTGTCTTGGTTCAGATTGTGAATCCTGTTGGGGGTAATAATGGGATTGATGAAGATAAAACACGTGGCGAAATTGAAGAAAGCTGCAGGAGGATTAACGAAGAGTTTGGATATCAAAGTATAGTGTATATTGATACTCCAATGTCGATAACTGAAATTAATGCTTACTACCATATCGCTGAGTGTGTTGTTGTGACTGCCGTTAGAGATGGTATGAACCTTACTCCATATGAATATATAGTATGCAGACAAGGTCCAAAGAAGAGCATGTTGGTTGTGTCGGAGTTTATCGGATGTTCTCCTTCGCTTAGCGGCGCTATACGTGTGAATCCATGGAACGTTGAAGCGACTGGAGAGGCGTTGAACGAGGCTTTATCGATGAGTGAGGGTGAGAAACAGCTGAGACATGAGAAGCATTTCAGGTATGTTAGTACTCACGACGTTGCGTTTTGGTCGAGAAGTTTCTTGCAAGACTTAGAGAGGATATGTGTGGAGCATTTCAAGAAAAGGTGTTGGGGGATGGGGATTGGTTTTGGTTTCAGAGTTGTGGCGCTTGATCCTAACTTTAGAAAGCTTTCGGTACCGTGCATTGTTTCGGATTACAAGAGGGCGAAAAGCAGAGCTATTTTGTTGGATTATGATGGTACCTTGATGCCTCAAAGCTCCATTAATAAAGCTCCTAGTCAAGAAGTTATGAACTTATTGGATGCACTTTGCGAGGACAAGAAGAATTTGGTTTTTATTGTGAGTGGAAGAGGAAAGGAAAGCTTAGGCAAATGGTTTTCTCCGTGCAAAAACATTGGGATTGCAGCAGAGCATGGATACTTCTTAAAGTACTTTTTTTCTCTAGATTTTATTTATACTAGTTTAAATGTGTTAGTAACATTCCATGTTTCTTTTGTCTATGAATTAGGTGGCCAGGGAGTGAAGAATGGGAAACATGTGGCCAGAGTTCTGATTTTAGTTGGATGCAGATAGTGGAACCTGTGATGAAACAGTACACTGAATCAACAGATGGCTCTTCCATTGAAGTAAAAGACAGTGCTCTGGTTTGGCAATACAGGGATGCAGATCCAGGGTTTGGTTCTTTGCAAGCAAAGGAAATGTTAGAGCATCTAGAGAGTGTTCTAGCTAATGAGCCTGTTGCAGTCAAGAGTGGTCACTACATTGTTGAAGTCAAGCCTCAGGGAGTGAGCAAAGGATCTGTGTCAGAAAAGATATTTTCATCAATGGCTGAAGAGGGGAAACCAGTTGATTTTGTGTTGTGTATTGGAGATGACCGATCTGATGAAGACATGTTTGAGGCGATTGGTAATGCAATGGCGAAGAAGTTGCTCTGTGAAGATGCTCTTGTGTTTGCATGTACAGTCGGGCAAAAGCCGAGCAAGGCTAAGTATTATTTGGATGATACTATGGAAGTGACAAGTATGCTTGAATCTTTAGCTGAAGCATCAGAGGCTTCAAACTTCTCTATGCGTGAACTTGATGATGCCTTGTGATTTTGGAAGCCAGAGTCTTTGCCAAGTTTTGTCTTCTATGATCTAATAACTTCCAGTTCATAACCACTATCAATGAATAATGTGCGTAGATGGCTAAAGAGATGATACAGACAAAGACAAGGAAAACAAAAGAAGAAACTGGTGTTTGGTCTGTTGTGATTGAAAGAAGAAAGAAAGAAAAAAAAAGGCCATGTGAAGCTTTGTTCTGTTAGTTGTTTCAAAAAAAAAAAAGTGTTGTTCAAACCGGTGAACAACAAGCAAAAGCTGTATATGGTTTTTCATTTTAATTTTATTATTGCTATTGTAATATGAGAAATGCAAAACTGTGAAAAATGTTATATTACAATATATGAGAAATGCAAAACTGTGAAAAAATGTCAAGAATTTTTTTATTTTTTATTTTAAATAATTTCATATGTTCTAGAGTACAGTTCAATAGCCCGTTGGGCCCTATGTATTTTGTCGCTTACTGTCGGATTGCTTTTTCAGATTTTCAATAAATTCCTTCACCAACTTTTTCTTTAATTGGTTGCATTGCATTGATGAGTATGAGCTTTGCAAAGGAAAAGAAAAGTCCAATGGATGGGAAGATGAAGAGTGTGGCTTCAATTCCGGCTAACTACGTATCCATCCTTCAGCTTCAGGAGCGATGGATGAAGGAGAAAGAAGGGAAACACAAGGAAAGAGACTTAGGAGTGAAGCAGCAGGAGGTTAATGAACAACGAAGAAGAGAAGAAGCTGATGTCTCTGCGGTTGTGAGCAAGAAGAAGGAGGATGAAGATGGAGAATATTCGAGAAAGAAAAAGAAGAAATGGTCTAAGAAGAAGAAACAAGGTGGTTCTGTGAAGGAGGTCGTCAAGTCTGGAACCAAGGCATACATCCCGAGGGAGATTAATCCGTTGAAAGAGGAGATTCCAGGAGATAAAACTGTTCAAAACATAGAGAAAGCTGCTGCTAGTAATTCGATTTCTGTAGAAACTCAGTTTCAGCATCTTTGGATCAAGAAGAAAGTGGAAGAGGATGGAAGAGACAGAGAAGTCAAGGAACCTGCAAAATTGAACAGGGGACAAGGTTATTACAGAAACCAGAAACATGAAACAAGCGCTATGATGTGGGTGAAGAAAGGATAGAACAATGGAGCTGGTGTTGGGAATGGCGTCAACTTTTAGAGGTTGGAACTTAGACACTGATCATGGCATTACAACTAGGGTTGACTCCTGTTCCTTTGGGGATGCTTTGTATATAATCTTGAATCTAGGAGCATCATTGTGGTACCTAGTAACTGATGTGTGCACAACTGTAAGTACTTTGAATCATTGGATTATTTTTCCAGTGTTAGTGTCAAGTCTCTTTCAGCTTATGTATGTGACTATGCTTCTGAATCTGAGACAACTACTGAACACACTTGCAAACAAAGATTTTGCTAAGCCATTAATGCTTGAGTTTGTATATACTTAAACTAGGGACATTAAGATTTACTTGTTATACAGTATAAGGAAGTATCTCAAAGATATACACAGAGATATTCAAGGTCTCTTTACTCAGACAGAAGCTGGTGTTGGTGTAGATGTTGAGGTCGAGGAAGAAACACGGTTTTCAGGTGGGATTTCTGTAAATTCAGACAGGATTGCACGGAACTCATCTCCTGACATTGTCTCTTTCTCCAAAAGTACTTCAACAATCTTGTCCATGGCTTCACGGTTGTTCCTTATGTGCCCCAAAGCTATCTCGTATGCTCTGTCTGATAGTGTCTTCACCGCTGAATCAATGTCATTTGCAAGCTTCTCAGACATTGAGTTTCTCGCCATCATCCTCATGATCACATCGCTTTGAGCTGATGAGTCCATCAACGACCATGGTCCGATCTCAGACATTCCAAATGTTGTCACCATCTGCAAGATTGTATATAATCATCAACATCATTATTAACTAGTTTGGGCTAAACTGAGACTTAGTAGATAGAGATACCTGCTTAGCTAAACCGGTGATCTGTTGCAAGTCACCAACTGCACCAGTAGTCACCTCAGGCTCACCAAAGATGACTTCTTCAGCGGCTCTACCACCGAGCCCACCAACAATTCTAGCAAACAGTTGCTGTTTAGAGATTAGAGTTGGATCATCTGAGGGGATAAACCAAGTCAGACCTCTCGCTTGTCCTCTTGGTATCAATGTAACCTTTTGGACAGCATCATGTCCTGGAGTCAATGTTCTGCAAGAAAACAAAAAGAATTAAAGCTCTAGATAGCACACACACACACAGACATGCTTCTGATCTGATTCTGAGTCTTTGACTTACCCACAGACGGCATGGCCAACTTCATGGTAAGCAACCAAGCTTTTGCTCTTTCCATCAGTCATGACTGTTCCTTCCATCCCAGCTACAATCCTATCAATGGAATCATCAATCTCTTTAGATGATATTGCTGTCTTTCCACGTCGTCCAGCCAATATGGCAGCTTCGTTTAAGAGGTTTGCAAGATCAGCTCCACTAAATCCAGGAGTTCTCATGGCTATTACTTCTAGTGAAACGCCACCCTCAAATTTCTTATTCCCGGAGTGAACTTTGAGTATCTCTGTTCTTCCTTTTACGTCAGGAACATCAACAGACACCTGCATTAAGAACAACACTTAGAAGATCTATGGAAAGAGCCACAAAGCATTCTGATCAAAATATATACCTGCCGGTCAAAACGGCCTGGTCTAAGTAAGGCGGAGTCAAGAATATCTGCTCTGTTGGTAGCAGCAACTACGATAACACCAGTGTTACCTTCAAAACCATCCATCTCCGTCAAGAGCTGATTAAGCGTCTGTTCTCTTTCATCATTACCTCCACCGATTCCAGTTCCTCTTTGCCTACCAACAGCATCAATCTCATCCACAAAGACAATGCAAGGAGCATTCTCCTTGGCCTTTTTGAAAAGATCACGGACCCTTGAAGCACCAACACCAACAAACATCTCAACAAACTCAGAACCAGAGATGGAAAAGAAAGGTACACCAGCTTCACCAGCAATGGCTTTTGCCAAGAGTGTTTTCCCAGTACCAGGTGGACCAACAAGGAGTACACCTTTCGGGATTCGAGCACCAACAGCAGTGAACCTCTCAGGCTTCTTCAGAAACTCCACCACTTCCATGAAGTCTTGCTTGGCTTCATCGACTCCAGCAACGTCATCAAAGGTTACACCAGTGTTTGGCTCCATCTGGAACTTTGCTTTGGACTGACCAATCTGAAGTGGGAAGCCAGGACCACCAGGGCCACCCATTCCACCAGAGGACCGTCTCGAGAGAAGGAACAAACCACCAATCAGAATCAGAGGGAATGCAAGATTCCCAATCAAGTTGAGTAGTGGAGAGCCTTGGTCTTCTTGAGCACTATGTGCTGCAAAGTCAATATTCTTTGCTCTCAGCTTCTGGAGAAGCTCCTGACTCAACCCCGGTAACTGTACGCGTACACGCTGAATCCTGTTACCTAACTCAGGAGAAACAGCCTCCACAATAGCTATTGTCCCGTTCTCATACAAATCTACTTTATCAACCCTACCTTTGTCCAAATACTCCAGGAACCTAGAGTAAGACATCCTAGAAGAAGAAACACCTTGTTCATCTGCATTTGCTTTCCCACTTCCAAGCAAACCCACTCCAGCAGCTGCAGCGTTTCCAAGCAAAAGCTTAAAGAAACCTCTTCTCGCTTCGTGTTTGTTCACATCCAAAGAAGCCTTCACAAGAGTAACTTTAGATGTTCTATCAACTAAAGGAAATGTTGAGGAGAGACCAAGCTGTTTAAACCTATGTTTAGTCGCGTGGACAGATAATCCGCTCCCTATAAGACAAGACGTTGAAGCAGCCATCTGCACTATATATCAATTTTAATCAAGGTTTGTGGTAAAAGTATAACAAGATTCAAACGAAGAGCAAATGACCAGAACATGCAAGTTTATAGTAGAAGTATAATCAACATGATAGACCATTAGCGATGTATATGAACAAAGATTAGATATGCTCCTGAAATATAATCTATCAAAAGGAGTGTAAAATCATTCACAAGAGGACCGAGATTACAGAGGGACAGACCAAAGTAAGCCAAAGAAAGATGCTTGAGATGACAAAGATGAGTGAAGAGAATCAAACCTGGGAAAATTTTATAGACGAAGGAGAAGCTTATGTGAAAGCAGATTGTTCGGACAAAGAGAACTAAGAGAAGTTGGGTTTTTGAAGACAAGTCATGTGGTTTCTGAACCTCTTACGTGTCTTCCTCTCAATTGCCTTAAATTTAAGAGGAGTTGAATAATTTTAATTATACCGTCCAATATATTTTCAGGTTCGTTTTGATTTTCCAACCTTTCTCACACAAAAATAACTAATCAATATTTTGATTTTGTAAACATCCTTCAAAAAATATCCAAAAATGTATCATCTACTATTAAGAAAAATATTGCAATTAGAGTATGTGATTTTCTTTCTAGAAGTCAAGCATAAAATTAACCAAAAAGAAAGAGTTTTAGTAGCACAAGGAAAGCCACATGCATCATGTAGCAACCAAGCAAAATCTAATGAAAGAAAGTGAAAGACGTATTGAGTTTGAATAGTTTCTAACTCTCTCCCGACATAAGGTACACTTCCAAAGTACACAACAATGAGACTCAAGATTGCTTAAATTCTTGGTTATCTCATCTCTGAAGTGTTTTCATACATTTAACTGGGCAATATAGCATATCTCAACCCTAAAAGAATAAAAAATACTCACAGTTTCATTCTTCTTCAGACATATTTGTGTCCCTAGAATCTGATAAAGCAGCATGGCGACCCAAGAGGACAAGATCAAGAAGCTTCCTCCTCGCCTCGTAGACTGGGTTTGGATCTATCAAACGTCCTCTCTCATACGCCTCTCTGAGAAACACAGTGTGTCTTTTCCCTTTAGTTGAAATATAAAACATCCCCGGGTGATCCAAGAACAAGTCCCTTATGTTTAAATCAATCCCAAAACATTTTCTGAAATGGCTGATCTTCTCTACCTCCACCATCTTCTCAACAGTCAAACTCAAGAACTCATGAGCAATCGCAACCGCTCTTTTCTCTACTCCCATCACACCGGACTTGTTCTTTTTCTTGCCAACCATGTCCTCGTACGGACCCACGTAAGGCAATTTCTGCCATTCCTTAACTTTAGCCTTAAAGTTCTTGCTCAGTCTCATCCCTGGTGGGTAACTATGTTTGAAACTAAACTGAATATCGATTCTATCCACACTACAATCCTCCTTACAACACTCAACCACCCTCCATTTCTCAACTGCAGCTTCAAAACTCAGACCCTTACCTTCTTCTTGAACTAGCTCTAAGATATGTGTATTGGGCTCATAACCATCACTAAGCTTAAAAACATGAGGGTTCTTTGAGATCACAGAGTCCTCAAAATCATCAGGGAGCCCAAGTTCTCTCCAAACCTTGAAAACCGCACGAAGAGGAACTGACTTTGATATAGACATAGACAGGAGCCTAACCAACCTGTCAACAACAACAGACAAACCAGCATTGATAGCCAAAGCCTCTTGACGAGATATCTCCATGGCTGCATCAGTTAACCTGCAAAAGGGCTGAGACTTCACAGGATCATTCAAGACATGGAAAATGTGAGGGTACTTCCTCAGAAAAGAAGCGGCACCACGGTTGAGGTGAAGCTTCTGGGAGAGCCTGGAGAGGAACTCAATGGATACAGAAGGAGGTTCAGCTGTAGGGTTCGCGAGGACGAGGTCTTGTATGGCAATGACCTTGAGTAGGTTCTTGTATTTGTCCATGAGCTTCTCGAAAACAGGGTCCCTTGCTCTGGAAGCTACGTACTGACCAGATGTTGTTGTTGATCGGACAGTGATGATGGAGCCTCCATAGGGGTGGAGCAGAAGTGATCTCATTAAGTTAAACCTCATGCTAACTTAAATAGCTTTCTTCGTTCCACAATGTTGTTATAAAACACTCTCTTCGGAATTACGTCGAGCACCTTGCGTGCATGGCAAAATAACAAAACTTTCTACCAGCTATCAACGAAGAACTAGAGAAGTACATACATACATACGAAGTAGTGTTCAATATCTGCAGAGTCGAACTTTATATGATCCTTGATTCCTTGTGGTCTAAATCGATTTTGTCTTCTTTTGTTTTGGGTTCAAAATGTTCAAATCGCAATATAAAGGCCTAAACATGTTAGATTGTAAATTTACAAAGCTATTGTCTACTTCGTAAATTGCCTTAAATATGAGGACCTATCCCGGTAATATACACTGTATTGAAGTTTTTGTATGCAATGTAAAAACTTCAAACTAACTTTTTTCCTTTCTCTGGATTTTGGTAGTAATCAAGCCTTATTTTTTTCTTATATTAATGGATTGTTTACATGGCTTACTCCATCAACAGAGCAATGCCTGCATGCAATCTATGATACATAAAAGACCAAACTATTTTACATATCTTTCATCAGTTATTGCTTTTCTTTCTCTTCTTCCATACAAACAGCATATCTTATACACATTATTTACTAGTTTTGTATATGGTTCCAGAACGATGAACCCTCAGAGCTTTGGAATCACTATTCTCAGAATCCCATCCCTGCTCCAAATTCAATAATATATTGATTGTTAGTGCTCTCTATGAAACTTGACAAATTCTAGATAGCTAATTTAAGCGAGTGACTGGTCGAAAACCACTACTTAGGTGTGCACTACAGTCTACTTACTAATCATAATGTTTTTTTTTTTGAGAAAAGCTAATCATAATGTTGGGTTGTATAGAGAAGTATGGTTTCTACTTACATAAATTCAGCAGCAACGTTATCTTTGTTCACATTGCTAGGAAGTGGCCAGGAAACTTTGAAGGGTCCTTGTATTATTTCTTGCTTATGATATCCAAACACTGAACCTTTGGTGCATGCATCAACTTTTTGGCAGACAGCTGTGCGTCTTCCTGTCACAGTTAAGCTGCAGTAGTAGCACAGAAAGTAAATTTGTTACTTAATGCACACAAGTGTGTGAGTAATAGGAACATACTGAAAATATGAGTGAGGATGCGCATTAGTTACTTTGTGTTGTCGACCTCAACTCTTATATCATTGATACTGGCACCTGGTAGCTCTACTGCCACAACATAGTTATGTTCATATTCTGCAACATTTGATCTCGGAGACGAAACAGTCCCTGCAAAAACAAAACACGCTTCTATAAGTTCTCATGTTTATCAATGAAGATGTGTTTGATTGAAGAACGGTTGCTCGCTCTTGTACTTTAGGCAGTAGATCCATGTATCCATATTTATTTGTATATTCTATAAAAATGTAGTGTATTATCCTATATATATTTATTTGTATGCGTACCTAGATTGGCTAACTTAGGAAGGTCAGGTTTGTATGGCTTTTCCAAGTCTTCCTTTTGCTGACATGGTGAATCACAAGAAACAAAGAACTCATCTTTTGCGGCGGCCTTGGAAAACTGTGGTGGGGCGTACTCAGGTCTGGAAAGCAATGGTTGTTGCGAAGAAGGTAAGCCATTCGTTTTGCACTTGGTAGATGCATCGTCCTGTGGTATAGCCCTCTGCAAAAATAAAATTTTAACAACAATTTTACTTCATATAAAGTATCATTTGAAATTTAAATCACCGGCCAAGAAAAATAAAGGAGTTGAAGGTACCTCATCGGTTGAAGCCTGCCTCATAAAGAAACCCTGTGCAGAAGACGCTTGCCGAGCAAAATACAGCCTGCTGTCACCTCTTCTAATGACAGAGTTCTTCAAAGTGATGCCGCCGCCAGTCTGAAAAGTGTAAATTGAACGAAGACAAGAGAAGGAAACAGTGAGCAAAACTATTTGATCATCTCAACTTCACAAACATAAAAACTCCACACTGACTGATTATAATCACCAGATAAGAAGGAACTTGTGGTACCTCGTTTGTAACTGTGGGAGCCTGCCTCATGAAAAAGCCTTGCTCAGAAGACGCTTGCCGGGCAAAAGAGAGCTTGTTGTCACATCTTCTGATGGCAGAATTCAAACTGCCGCTACAGTTCTGAGGCATCACCAAACCAAACATGAGTTTTAGTAAACGAATACAAAGGAAACATCAAAAAACAAACTATTGGAGACATATCAACGAAAGCAATCAGTAAAATAGTCGTTGGTTAGTGAGAAAGACGGATTTAATTGAGTAAATCGAGACGGATAAAGTAAGCTCCAATCATAAATTCAAATATATTCCGATTACACAGAGATCTCGAGAGAGCACTAAACAAATCCAATAGGAACAACAACACCGTGCAATTACCAGAGAAATATATTCACAGCGAGATTCGAGATCGTTCTACTTCCGAAATCAGAAAATCATCTTACGTGTAAACAACTTCACAAAACTAAAAACTGATTCGAAAGAGAGAGAAAGGAATACCAAGGGAAGCAGCGATGCCGAGGAGACGGGATCGTTAGTGGGCAGCGGGAAGTGAGCGGCGACTGTGGCGAGTCTGCGTCTAGCGGTGGTTGATTCGAGCTCCATATCTCACTGAGTTCTTCGTTATGTGGAGAGGGATAAGGTAGCGAGTGAGGAAAAAAATGAGTGGCTTTAACTAAGCGCGCGCGATTCAAAAATATCTTATCAAATGTGGCGCCACCGATTGATTAGACTAAAGATATTTTCTCCTGGGAAATGGACAACTAAGATGACGACCCATTTATTAATGGGCTTAATTAGTACTATTATCGTTATATTATTAATTTTTTACTAATCACTTTTTAAATAGTAACATGTCCATTGTTAGAAATCAAATTATAGAATTCCAATTCCTTGTTAACGCAAGTTGCATTGACACACAGAGTCGGAGCGGTAATGTTTTCGTAAAATTGCACCAAAGTCCAACAACAACAACCATCATCATCGCTTGTGACTCCAAATCAATCAAAAAGCTCAAAGTTATACAGCAGCTTCGATCAGATCCAACCACGCCCATTTCTCTTCCTCTTTCGTAGGTCTGCTCTTTTTTGCGAGATTTGATTTTGATTAGGTCACTCCTGATCCAGGTTGAGATGAGTTTCTCTTTTCGTCAATGCTTGAATCTTTTTTTGTTTGTTGAGCTCGGAATCACTGAGCTTTTTATGATTTGGTATTTAATTAGCTCACTCCCAATCGTGTTGGTTTGTATGTGTGTGTTTTTTAGGTACTATACTGACTTAGCTTTCTTTATATGGCTATTACTTTAATTAGTGGACATTCTTAATTTGTCTCTTCTTAAGCAGGTTCATTAGGTGCCTGCCTTAAAGTGAAATCAAATGTGATTCTTATGACTAGTTGCATTCATTGCTTGCATCATAATGGGATTTCTCACAGAAATCTTGACTGGCTTAAGCTTCCATTTGTGATTCCAGGTTAAACATCAACTGATTCCAGAGAATTACATTGCATTATTCACCAAAAGCTGAGCTTCCCACCTTCCTTGACTTCAGTTAATCTGCTGGGGTGGGATATGCTAGAGAGAGAGAGAGACACTGATCCATTTGAAAATATGAGTATATAGTCTGCAACTGAGTCAAGATACTTATTTCTTCCTTGAGATTCCAAGGCATTGAAGGGTACGCTTTTTCAAAATTTCTGTTGAATACACAAGAGCCGTGTGTGTTGATTGCATGCTCTGTCAGAATGGTCCGTGGTTGGTAGTCGCTAAAAAGGTTGGCTGTTGAGTTTGGATTATTGATGGAGCAAAGAATACACCTACGCGGTGGTGGCACTGCTGAAGCTAACTCCAATCAGGGAGATGTAGACAGGGAACAGGTTTTAGAGCCGTTTGATATTGAAAATGAGGCAAACCGCTCCAGCAGTTTTGATGTTGGTTACAGTTCCGGTGAAAACCTTGAAACGTTGCCTACACCCTCCAAAGATGTTATCTCTCCAGCCGACATCCTAAAGACACTCTTCTTTATACTTGTATGGTACACTTTCAGCACATTTTTGACTCTGTAAGTATGTCTTTGTGACGATCCCTTGGCCTTTTCTTGTTTTATTTTCTTACACCTAGCATTCAATTTGCTTGCTTATTTTCTAGGTATAACAAAACTCTCTTAGGAGATGATTTGGGGAAATTTCCTGCTCCCCTGTTAATGAACACCATTCATTTTTCTATTCAAGCCGTTTTATCAAAGATGATAACATGGTACTGGTCTGGAAGATTTCAACCTGATGTTACCATGTCATGGAGAGACTATTTCATTAGAGGTAAACTAACTAAAACTATGTCATGAACTCCTTTCTTCTTTTTACTTGCTAATGATCAGTCCCTGAGCCATTATCCCCACTGTATAGAATTGAGAAATTTATGTAATTTGTCCAATGCATCAATCATCTTCGGTATCTAGTGATGACGAGGCACAGAACAATTTTGAAGATTTAGTTTGATCCAGTTTTTCTAAGTTGATTATATTGAGTTTCTATGAACTGATGACCAACATGGACTTTCATTTCACAGTTGTACCAACAGCACTTGCAACTGCTTTGGATATAAACCTAAGTAACGAGTCACTTGTCTTCATATCGGTTACGTTTGCAACAATGGTTAGTTGTTTTATTTTTATAATGTAGGCCTTTGCAACGTGTTAGGAATTTGTGGATGAAAGAAGCCGAGACGTGTCTGATGAAATTCACGTTTTTTTTAATTTGCAGTGCAAATCTGCAGCACCAATATTTCTTCTTCTGTTTGCTTTTGCCTTCAGGTGCTTTATTCATAACTATTTTTTTTTTATCTTGATCTTTCGACAATGCATTAGGGTCGGCACTTAACAAAATTTTCAATGGTAGACTCTATTGCTTTAGTTAAAACCTAATAATACTTTCGTTTACATTGTTCTTTTTCAATACACATCCTTTTTTTTGTCAACTTTAATCTAATTTTAGTTATATATGATAGAACAAATTTGACATACCACTTATTATTTGGGGTAGTTTGCCTACAGGTGCTTTATTCATACCTAATTTTGTTTTCTTATCTTGTTCTTTAGACCATGCATGAGGGTATGTACTTAGCAAGTTTATCAATGGTAGTCTTTGTTGCTCTAGTTAAAATTTAACATTACTTTCGTTTACATTGGTCTCTTTGACTACACATCTTTTTTTATCAATCATCACACTGATTTTATGCTGCATTTTCCATCCTTTTTTGTGTTATTCTGACACAGTTTCTCTTGTAAGGCTGGAGTCTCCAAGCCTGAAACTTTTTGGTATTATTTCAGTTATCTCAGCAGGAGTGTTGTTAACAGGTGTGTTTTTCTCCAAACATTTATATTGCAAATTTCTTTCTGCCTGCTAGAATATTCATCCACATGCTTTAGTATTGGTTTTTCTAACCAAACTGTTAATTTGTATTTATTTGCACCAGTTGCAAAAGAGACGGAATTTGAGTTTTGGGGTTTCGTTTTTGTCATGCTTGCTGCTGTCATGTCTGGTTTCCGTTGGTGTATGACCCAAGTTCTTTTGCAGGTATGCTATCTAAATCAAAATTTTAATTGCTTCTAATCCATGCGATGGAACTTTTCAATGTTAACCCTTTTCCTTTTGGTGCATCCTGACGCCAACACTATATGTAGAAAGAAACCTATGGTGAGTTTTGCTCTTGGTGTTTTATTGTTTATATTTTCATTGTTTAATTTCTTAAAAGTTATAATACATGAATTTAATCTGTACTTTTCTGTTCATCTAGGCCTGAAAAATCCTTTCATGTTTATGAGTTGCGTGTCACCAGTGATGGCTATAGTGACTGGTCTTCTTTCTCTCCTTCTGGATCCATGGAGTGAATTTAGAGAGAACAGATACTTTGATAGTGGAGAGCATTTTGCGCGAACTTGTTTCTTGATGCTTTTCGGTGGAGCACTAGCTTTTTTCATGGTAAGCATTTACTAATAATTTATAGTGTCATGTAAGAATGAACTTTCCTTGATAAATGGAGGTTAAAGAAGCTTTAGGAGATCTAGATTAGTATCTCACTGTTTAGTACTTTGTTTCAGGTGTTAACAGAGTATGTTCTTGTTTCGGTGACCAGTGCTGTAACGGTCACGATAGCAGGCGTCGTTAAAGAAGCTGTGACCATAGTGGTATTTGCTATATTGTATCATTGCTAGCTTTTGATGAATGTTGAATCAAATGAGGGATGTAAATATCTTCGTTGTTGTTCTTCTACTCGGTTACTACAGGTTGCAGTGTTCTACTTCCATGACGAATTTACGTGGCTGAAAGGTTTTGGTCTGATGATTATCATGGTTGGTGTCAGCTTGTTCAACTGGTACAAGTAAGTAGTTATTCTTCTCCTCCTGGAGAAGGAACTTTTAGTAACTTCTTTGTTAAACATCTTATATTGATACATGAATGTAATCTCATAAGTCTATTTGATGTGTTTCCCAGATATGAGAAACTACAAAAGGGATACAAAACAGAAGATGAGAAGCAGCTACAAGCTCCAAGTCAAACAGGAAAATACGTGATTCTTGATGAGATGGATGATCAAGAAGATGGTCCTTAAGCATTTTTGTGTGTTTTCCACATTCTCTGGTAACTACTTATAAACGCTCTCATGAAACTGAATAGAAACATCAGAGGATTCGTAAGTCAAATATGAATTCAAGTTTATTCTAGAGAACTACATAATAACATAAGATTACATCATAAGCTTACTATTGAGACTAAACACCATAATAAGAGAAGGAAGAAGATGTATGAATACAAAAGAATAATGGAATTTGAGAGAATAGAGAAGAAAAATTGAGATCAGATGTGGCATCCACAACAGAGGTAGAAGAAACAGAGAGTTGAAACTAGAACGACAGCTTCCACTACATACATCACGTTGTAAACCACTCCGTCCACGATCTCCGTGTGCAATATCTCTACTCTTTTCCACTTTAAAGATGGAGACGACGTTGAAAACATATTCCTTAGTCGTTGCCATGTCTGTGTTTCTTTGGCCATCACTTCACCTTCCTCTTTCTGCTGCCTCTTCTTCTTCAGAGACGTCCACTTCTTCATCACTCCCATCCTTTGTCTCTTTCTTTGTCTCTACGACAGAGTCTTCATGTCACACAGTGCGTTCTTATACAAAAGAGGGAGAAGGTGGCAGTTTGGTGAATAGGTTAGAGAAGGAGAGGGTATTATTGTAAAGCGGGAGTAAGTAAGGAATAGATCCCTTGACCTTTTTTCTTCGGGAAAGGAAAAGCATTAGCTGGCGAAAGGTTGGAAGAAGGGAATGAGGGGTAGTTTGGGGATTTCAGGAAAAAGGCTTCTTATTATTTTATCTTTTTTAACGGTCCAGCAGTTTAGCTTTTTTTTTACAGAGCGGCCCACTAAGACACGATGCAACAACGGTCCTTTTTATCTCACATTCCTACAATTGTCACTCTTCTTTATATGAACCGTTATATAATTATTTAAGTTAACGAATATATTCTACATGTATATTTCTGATTGTATAGATTAGATTCTCACTACGTAATGATGTAGTGTCGTAAAGAACTATATATGTTTTTTTCAAACCCCAATACAGATATTTTATTTTTGATATGCAAGACAGCTCAATTTTATTTGTCTACATTACTTTCGGGATGATGTAAAGGAATGTAGTTGCGTCTCTATCAACAATTTGTGACATTATATATAGAGCCGTTCTCTTCTTTTTATCAATCGAAAGTTACGTAATTTAATCCTACTTAACCTTGTCTGTTCTCATATGTATGTGTATTCTTTCTTTTTTTAATAATGAATCTCATATGTGTATTCTTTTAGGATAGGATGATCATTGTTTTAAAACAGTAGTTACCTATTAATTTAGTATGTGACTACAAGATATAGTATCTTAAAGTATAGCCTTCATCGACTTAGTTTGGGAATTTGTATTGGCCCAACACATTGATAAATATAAATTCACGAATGTTCATTCCGCCCTGCTAATCTTTACTTGTCCACACGAACTTTAGTCGCGGCGCACGCAATAATAGGCTCAGAAAAAGTCAAGGTAGCTGAAACCAAAATTCGAACGTTAAGAAAGTTGATTTGTCCATAAACATCTAACTTGAGGGGATGAAAAATGAATTTTAACATCGTTAGATTTAGCTCTTCCAATGCTACTAGGACCACTATGAAATAATTGGATGTAGTATACAGCCTTTGTAATCAGTTTGGCATATAAACAACAAAGCATGCATGCGTATCATCATGATTCACGATCTACGATATGAAAAAAAGGGTAAGCACTCAAATCAGTGTCACTTTCATATGATAGTTGGGATTCAAAAAAAAAATCACACGAGGAAGTTTTTGGTCAATTTGGTAAAATAGTTTATGACTTGCCAACAAGGCCCATTAGCTCAGTTGGTTAGAGCGTCGTGCTAATAACGCGAAGGTCGCAGGTTCGAAACCTGCATGGGCCATTAATCACTTTTTAATCATAAACACTACTTCTGCTTCTTTTTAATGCGGCCTAAATAGATATACAAATCCTTGCTTGAAAAACCCATGGACCAGTAGTTGACCCAACTAAAAAGTAGTCTAATTAGTAGAATATTATAACGGCACGTTGTTAATTGGTGAACACGTAACACATCACGTAGTCTAGATTCCCTCGTAGCCGTTCGGCTTCTCGGAGAAGTAAATCCTTTCCCGGGAGAAAAAAAAAACAATTCCTAGAAAACCTCGTAGAGGGAGAGAATAAGTGATTTCGAGCTTGACACACACAAAAACCTAGTCATCGTATACTTATTTAATTAGAAAAGTCACAGCTAAAAAGCTTCATCTTTCTCATTCTTTTCTTCCTCGTAGAGTAATCTCATTAACCCTGAACCCCACTCAACGAATCTGATCTCTGTTCTTCTCATCTCCTTTCCTTTTCACATATAAATTCACAAAAGGGAAGGAAGAAGATGAAAATTCGTAATCGATGGCGAGTACGAGTGGAGGAAGAGGGGAGGATGGGAGGCCGCCACAGATGCAACCTGTTCGGTCTCTATCTCGGAGGATGACGAGAGCTGGGACTATGATGATTGATCATGCTAACGAAGATGAGAACGTTGTTGACAGCGAGCTTGTGCCTTCTTCTCTTGCTTCCATTGCTCCTGTTCTTCGTGTTGCTAATGAGATTGAGGGTCATAACCCCCGAGTTGCTTACCTCTGTATGATCTCTCTCTTTTAGACCCAATCCACTTATCACAAATTCATTTTAAATTGGAAGTCCATAATAAAACTGAATCTAACCGTTATAGTTAGCTAGTTTCATCATGTATGGTAATGGATTTTAAAAAGCAATGTGGATATTTTGTGGACGATGACAATGTCAAGTTTCTCTGTTTCTTTCACTTACTAGGTCGTTTCCATGCATTTGAGAAGGCTCATAGAATGGATCCAACATCAAGTGGACGAGGTGTTCGTCAGTTTAAGACCTATCTATTGCACAACTTAGAAAAGGTATACATATATGGCAATGCTTGTTTAGTTTTGTGTTTATTCTGACTTAGCTCAGCAAGTTTTGATTTATGTTTCCCCCTTATTTATCTGGATATAATTTTTATTATGTGAAGTTTGTACATTGAGATAGTAGTTTTGTTTGTTGTGTTAGGAGGAACCAACGAGTGACCCGAAAGAGATTCAGAACTACTATCAGAAGTTCTACGAAGATAATATACAAAGAGGAGAAGGAAAAAAAACACCGTGAGGATATTTTTACTTCTTTAACATTTAGTAACCATTGTTTTTGACATGATAGTGTCTGCTAACTCTTTTGCTTTTGTTGATTTTGTCATTGTAGGGAGGAGATGGCTAAGCTTTACCAGATGGCTACTGTCTTATATGATGTTCTAAAGACTGTTGTTCCTCCAGCAAGAATAGACGAAAAGGTTGAATTCCTGTTCCCTTACATCCTTTAGGCACTTGATTTTTTTTTAATTCTTATTCTGTTGTTGTTGGAATGTAGACCCACAGGTATGCTAAAGAAGTTGAAAGAAAGAAGGATCACTATGAACATTACAACGTTCTTCCCTTGGACGTTGGAGGAGCAAAAACCGCAATAATGGAGCTCCCTGAGGTTTTTGCATCTGCAAACTTTACATTACTTCAGCTAGCAATCAATTTAGTCACTCTGAGCTCTTACCGATGTTTTTTTTTCTATTAAATTATAGATTAAGGTGGCAGTTTATGCCGTCTCTAATGTGGAAAATCTTCCTCAGCCAAGACTCCCTTCATCCTCGACTAATCCTGACCAAGTGGAAAGGGAAGAAACTAGATCTTTCAGTGATATTCTAGAGTGGCTGGCTTTGGTTTTTGGTTTTCAGGTACAAGTTTCTTTCTTGCAATTTTTAGTATAATTGGTGAAAAGTTTCATGATTAAGCTTCCTTTTTTTTTATGGTGAAAGAGAGGAAATGTAGCTAATCAGAGGGAGCATCTCATACTCCTACTTGCCAACGTTGATGTGCGAAAGAGAGATCTTGAGAATTACAACGAGGTAAATTTTTTACTCTTCCTTTTTGAAGAGAATAGTACATTTCAAGTTACTAACTTCAAATGAAATTTAGTTAAAGCCTAGCACTGTGAGGAAGTTGATGGACAAGTATTTCAAGAATTACAGGTCATGGTGCAAGTATTTGCGGTGTGAATCAAATCTCAGGTATTATAATGATCTCCTCTTAGATAAATAAAAGTTCTTAACGCTCATAGGACTTCGAAAAGCTTGCGTCTCTATTGGTTGATGGTTTTTTTTTTCTGTTGGCAGGTTTCCTCCAGGTTGCAATGAAGAACAGTTGAGCCTTGTGTACATTGGTCTTTATCTTCTCATATGGGGTGAAGCATCGAATATTCGTTTCATGCCTGAATGCCTCTGCTACATATTCCACAAGGTAGGTTCTTTTAGAACGAAATGCTAATTTTTGGTTTTCCTACTATGCTTTTGTTTCTTATGAAAATTTTGAAAGGAAACTCTATAAATTACTAATGCCTTGGGAACCAACATGCGGATTAAAGATCAGGCACTAGCATGTTCGTGGTGATTCATATTAGTAATATTTTTTCTCTGAGGTGAAAACTACAGAAATAGAATTACAAACGCTCTTTGTTATTGGATAAGTATTGAGTTGAAGGAAACAACTATAATAAAATTTCTCTAGATGAAGCAAATGGCAACGCACAGAAAAAATATTTATCTAGTTGTCTTTAAAATTCTGTTATTTATTTGGTGATTATCTGATGTACAAAAATGTTGTATTGATGAGATGTTGGTGATTTTCTGATGTACAAAAATGTTGTATTGATGAGATGTTGGTGATTTTCTGATGTACAAAAATGTTGTATCCTTTGACCTAATTTACTATAACTACTACTATACCGATGTTGGACCCTCTGTGGATGTTATTCTCACATTGTCCACGCTTCAGACCTAGAGATGTCTGAGCGTGAGGGAGGGTATTGATGAGAAACATCCCACATTGGAAATATAATAATTAATCTACTACTATATAAAGGGTTGGAGCCAATTCACTAATCACCAATTGGTTTTAAGTTGGAAGCCCATAATTAACCCGAATCTAACATGTTGTGACGATGCTTCCATATGTGAAATGTTTACCTGATTTTCTATAAGGGAAAAATCTTGTTCTTATACTGTTATTATGTAAGATTTTGTGTAACCATGAAAATCTTCTTGTGAAGATGGCGGATGAAGTCCATGGAATTCTGTTTTCCAATGTATACCCTGTAACGGGGGACACTTACGAAGCAGGTGCACCTGATGACGAGGCATTCTTAAGGAATGTTATAACTCCAATCTACCAAGTCTTACGCAAGGTATGTAATTTTCTGTTATAGTTTTTTTCCTCACGTATTAGTTTACTAATTAAGATCAGGTTATTTTGGGAAATAGGAAGTCAGGAGAAACAAAATGGGAAAGGCAAGCCATTCTAAATGGAGGAACTATGATGACCTGAACGAGTACTTTTGGTGAGTTTGTTAAATCAGTTATTCAGGTTTTATATGTTTTAGTCAAGTGTTGTTTATCTGA